GCATATGGATATAGTAATGGCTTTGACTACGGCCATAGTAGCCAATGCTTTTTAAAAACAGTTCGCGAGATAACTTATAACTATATTAAAACATGTTCTATTTATTTTCCCTTGTCTGTTCTTACCGTTTACTCATCACTCTAATGTGGCCCAGATTCGATAATAAAACGAAAAAAGAGAGGCTATCTTTGGCACGCCGAAGATGTAATACCCTTGCAGACCCAACTTTTTCATATTACTCATAGTGCATTTCCCGTATCTAAGAAGCACAGGGAAAATAATTAATGTCAGTTTGGTCAAGATATCTTGAAAAACAAAATAATTGTTTACACAAGAACCTACTTTTCGACCTATAGCAGCTATTTGATATAGTAGTCGGATGTAAATAAGATTTTACAAAAGTAAAGGGAGCATAATGAAATCTCTACAGCCGTGTTTGATCAAAATTTCTTGAAAGAAACAAAAGAAACTTAATTTGCGACCGATCGTTCCTATGCCAGGTATATGATATAGTGGTCCGATGCTGATAAGATATATATGAAGAGCTCTGTCACGGTATCTTGAAACAAAAAAATGTCATACAATAACCTACTTTTAGACCGATCGTTCCTATGGCAGGTCTATAATGAAGTGATCCGAAACAGCTGGTTCCTACATATGTACTGCGTACAACAGAAAGAGGACTTCTGCAAAGTTTCATTAAGATAGCTTTAAAACTGAAACTCTGTCCGCATAGAAACAGACAGACGGACAGACGTACATGGCTATATCGACTCGGCTGTTGGACAAAGACAATATAGACTGTCTTTGTTACTAAGCAAGAATATCGAAGATGTCACCGGCAAAATTATAATACCCCCTCCAAAGGTATAAAAATATGAGAAAATTTAACTCTATTGATGTAGTCACAAACTAAAAATAAACATAATAATATAATATAGTAGGCTGCTTAACCCATGTGGCTTATCTTAAGAACACTCCAGTTCCGTCCAGAAAAATTGGCAGCGTGAAAAACTAATTTGAGCCTCTAAATAGAGCAATGGGCATACGAAACAAAGGCAAAGCGAAAGACAAACTGTTAGTCAGAACAAAACAGAGGGGAAAACTGTATTAAAATTTCTGCAGCAGGGTATGACAAACTTGTGGATTTCCCTGTAAATTATGTGTAATAAGCAAAAATAAACCAATTGAAATCGAATAGACTCGAACGATTACTTAATGATTAGAACAATAATACAAATATAACACATTTACATCAGGGTTACTTTTACGTTTTTTAGATCAGTTTTGTAACAATTTGATATACCCTTCTTGGCCTTGGGGCTAAAGCAAAAGACGAAAAGTGTGAAAAATAATAAGAGAAAATATAATAACTTTCTTTGGCACGCCGAAGATTAAATACCCTTATAAAGATAAATATTTTAAAAAGTGCTTTCTCTAGCCAAACCCCTAAAGATACTTCGATTTGGTTCGCTTTTGGTGTTTTGTTAAGAAAATATGGAAACTTACAATTGCAGAGTTATAATGGCCCGGTCCAATCGGAAAGACTTATTCAACGTTTCATGACAATAGCTCTATTGACTCGGCTGCTGATATTGATCAAAAATATATATACTGAATGAAGTCGTAGATGTCTGCTTCAATGCGTTATCCATTTTATGATAAAGTGCGAATACCCTTTACAAGGGTATTAAAAGTAGCTCTCAAACGTTACACCAACGATACCAAGACAAACTTGAAAGTTCTCTGCGGGCATAATAGATGCTTGCTGTGCTGAGTTTGTGTGGAGAGATGGGAAGCGGGGTACAAGCCGCAATTAACAGCCCAGCCATGAACTAAGCGCTGCTTTTTGTCAGTGTCTTTCAAACAGTTGTTTGGCGCAGCATTTGGGAACTTTGGCTGACAGTTGGCATATGGACGACGCGTTGACCACAAGTGTAGGAAATGTGCATCAACAACAAAACAAGAAGCAAGCCCTCGATCTTAATCCCGCTGCTGCTGTTGCTGTTGGCCAGCTTAGGTGTTTGCCAGGGCGATGTACTGAAATCCGGAGGCGGTGCCATTGAGCTGCCAACATTACGCCCATTGCTGAATGTAGACAATGCTGATGGAAGCGATGGCAACTCGGATTTTGAGCAGCTCATCGAGTCAAAACTTAACGAATCAGCCAGGAGCCAAACAATTCAGACCCAGGAGCTGCTTTCGAGGAAGCGACGCTATTTGATATTTCCGGAGGGCAGTTCCTTTCAAATGGGTGAGTCTGTCTCGTCGTTAATGCCCCTAAACGTTGCCATCTACATGCTTCATTTATCCCGACCCTAGTTTTCGATGAAGTCATCTGCGTTGTGGACTACACCAACTATTTGGTCCTGGGGATTACCGTTGCCCTGGCCTGGGAATTACCCAGCAAGCCGCCCAGTGAAGCGCTTGAGGATCTATTGGACAAGTTGGAAGATGGCACAATAGATGTTAGTCGCAACGACACTGTGTCCAACATAACCTACGTGGATGATGCCCAAAAGCCAACTAACAACCAAAACAACAACAGCTACACGCCCAACTACATTAACTTGTCAAATGGAGCAGGCGGGAGCAGCAACTATAATTCTTACTATAGCAGCTCTCCAGTGTTTCGCACACCGATGCATCCAACCTATAAATATACGGACAGCTTTTACCGGCGACCCAGCGTTCCAGCCAGACGCAAGGATAGTCACTATTACTACAGCAGTCCACTGAGCAGCGTACGCAATCCCTTCCAGAAATATCTGCAGCGCCATAACCAGGCCCAAAACTCACGCTATCCCTACTGGGCCTTGAGTTCCCAGTAAGTCATTGCTTGAATATACTGACATATTTTATAATCTTGTTTCCTTAAGTTTAAAGAACGCAGTGCGCCAGCGGAATAGCTTCTATAGTTCATCCAACAATCTTCGCCAGCCGAATGGCTATTATGCACCGCCCAAAGAGCAGCAGAGGACCCCGCTGAAAGCTAAGTCGACGCCACCACGTCATCACAAAATATATCCGGTATTTGGAAAACGTAGCTTACCAGATGCAGACAATCCGCATCATCGGCACAGACGTAGTGGAGTTGCCAATGTACCCGATGCTGACTTAACCCGAATGGAGAACATTCAGATTAAATATCACCGGAACAGTCGGCAAACCTTGTATGAAAGAATTGAAAAGTATCTTGATAAGTAAGTAAATGAAAATCTGGAGAGTTGGAGCCTGAGAAATTGCAATGGATCTGCCCGGATCTCCACTTATGCATGTCGACTTTCAATATATTATTATTCCTGTTTTTCAGACGCGGCCACAATGGACATCAGTGCGTGCTGCGTACTCTATGTGAAACTGGACAGAAATCCAATGAGCATGAGCCAGGTAGCTTCGCTGGCGAACTGCTTCGTGCGGTATTTACCATACCAGAGGCGTTGGATCATGAGCCCGTAGCCTATCGAGATAGTCGATACGACAAAGCTCATGCCCATAAAGGTGACTGTGCTGCTCTCTATCCCGAGTGCAAGCTGTCCATCTGGGATGCACCATTTATACAATAAAGATAAGCCAATTTTTGTTTCAATGTTTTATTCAATGACCCCACTTGCCATCAAGTAACACACCCAACAGGTTTAATTTACACTGATCCCTAAATTGTCGGTCGCAATCCTCTGCATTCATGCGCATCATACGACTGTATTCATCTTCCACTCCTGAAATGGTGGGCAGGCTAAATGAAAGATCAGTTCTGAATAATATAAGATGTGTGTTATATTTTAAATGCAATCACTTACGTAAAGATCAAGCGGACTATATCCTGCAACATGGAGTAACCTGGTGGCAGTAGCAAACGCTTACTATCGCAGATGGCGCGCAGGATACAGGCTTTGGTATCGATACCAAGACTGCAAGAGAGAAGATATAAGATAGTTTTACATCAGAAATTGAAATAGGATCTTTATGCCCTACAGCTTGCTGAACCCTCCAAATTGCTCGAACAACTGCCGACGATCGCGATGTCCATGGTATTGTTGCCAGTTGGTGAAGTGCTCCAGATCTGGATAGGTAACAGCTTCATAAGGCGCTGTTTCAGGATCATAAGGGTCTTCTTCTACTGGACTCTCATCCTGTTGCGATTTCACCGATCTATACCAACGCTTGCCATAATTGTTCCATTTGGGCGCTGCCGTTGTCCATTTGCTCCATTTTCCAGGCTGCTTATATTTCTCATAATATGGTCTTGCTGGCGTCCAATTCTCAAATCGCTCTCCGTACTTTGACCATTGCTTCCACTTTGCCGGATCGGCATAGTAAGGCATTTGGGGCCTGTAGTCTATGCGTTGATGAAGCCTTAATGGCTTTGGCTTCTTAACTGGCGTTGCCTTATATCGCCAATCGGTTCCAGCTATCCAAACATATGTTGGCTCTGTGGTTGTTTTGGGCTCTGGAGTTGTAGTTGTTCTGGGTCGAAAACGTTTCGGATAGACATCCTCACGACTCGAAGGCACTGGATAGTAACAGGCCTGCTCAATGTTCATAGCCACGCCCTTAGGGAAGCGTGAGAGAAGACCTTTACTTATAGAGCCTGTAAATTTCAAATTCGAGCCCTTCGGAAACAACACAAAGCGCTTTTGACGCGAGAAAACACGTTCCACGACATGGTTTAACTCTGTTCTGTTTGGCTCGCCAAAGACCACCAGCGCAAATGCCAGTTGTCCGAGCAATTGAATCCAAAGACCGCATCTCATGACTGGCATTAACTGATTGAGATGTCAAAAGAGATCTAACGATAGCTAGCAGATTCAATATGTACACTTAATAGTTACTGCGATCTTTTCAGATTAAGTGTAAATTTTTAAGCAAATAACAAAATAAAAAAAAATTAAGTGAGTGAGGAAGTTGATGTTTGTATTTCTAAAAAATAAAAAAAGTCAACGACATTCATTTGCTTAAATACGGTTGGAATTGCCAGGTATATAGATAAATATGATCTGTTAATCCGTTAATTCTCTTTAATGTTTCCATCAAAAATTTAATTATTTTGGTACATTGCAAGTTAAGGACTTTTCAAATTGGGCAGCTCCTAATTTTTAATATGTTCAGACGGGCTTAGGTTTTCAAATAAATTTGGGAGATACGGGCCTGGGAGTATTTATTGATAAGATAGCTCGTTCCAACTCTACCTATTTGTACAAGGTTGATGCTTTAGGATAATATTTATAAATTTTATTAAAAATTATACCTCTTAGGATGGCCATGTGAAAATATAAGATGACTATTTTACTAGCTAGCGATGTATTGTATTAAGATTCACAGAGGATATTTTTTTGATTTTTATTGATTTTCAGACTTATATAACTGTTTTAGTTTGAATTGAAAATGTTAAACTACTTTTCTCAAGGAATATATTATATTTTGTATTTTTTAAAACTAAATTTTAATCAATTATTAATTATTAACAGCATTTATTTTATCTAATTTTCCACTTAAAAGCCAAATCAATAAGTTCATATTGCATTTGGTCTTTAACTCCTCAGCACAAGCATCAGCATCCTTCATCATAACGCGGGTATAATCATCCTCCTGTCCATCTAGTCGAGGCATCCTTAATATAATCACGAAATCCATTAAAACATGTTTTAATTGGCAACACTTAATTAACCTACGTGAACACTATACGCAGCATATCCTGGAGCATTGAATATCCTGGTGGCAATAAAAGACGCTTTGAATCACATATGCTGCGCAATATACAGGACTTGATATCGATTCCAAAGCTGAAAAGGATTTTCATCTTAAGGTATGAACCAGCAGTTAATATTATTTTTATGTACTTACCGTGCACTTAGTCCACTGAAGTGTTCGAAGAGCTGTCTTCGGTCACGATGGCCATGAAAATGACGAGATTCGACAACTGCGTTTGGTCTAAGTCTGGGCCAGTGACTTGTCCAGTTGGCTGACCACTTCGGCGCTGGTGTAGTCCATTTCGACCATCTGGTCTTGTTGGTCATTTGCAAGCGGTACTTATTCGCACTGCTTTGCCATTTTTGAGCCTGGTTTGCTCCATACTTTGCCCATTGCTGCCACTTGTGAGGATTGGCATACCCGTCGAGATCAATACGTTGTGTTTTGGGAGGTTGAAGATTAGGCTGATGCGGTCTTGGCCTCGGCTTTGGCAATGCCTGCGCCTTAAAACGCCAGTCGGTGCCGGGTATATACACATACGTATCTGTTGTCCTTGTCAGAGGTTTTGGTGTTGTTGTTTTCTTTGGCAGGAAACGCTTTGGATACAGATCGTCTCGAGTGCCAGGTATGGGAAAATAAACGGCTTCCTCCAATTGGAAAGTGATGCCACGCGGATAGTTCGAGAGCAGACCATTGCTAAAGTTGCAAGTAAATTTAAAAAATGAGCCAGGAGGAAAGATTACCGCTCGCTTCCGGCGACTGAACACTCGCTCATAGGCTGACCGCAGTTGAGTCTGTTGAGGTCTCAGCTCCCCATGACTACTACTGAGTAGCACCAAAAGTACAAAGAACTGAGTGTGCAGCATTTAAGGCACAGCAAACGCACAGAACGAAATGATTTCAAAGCTTCACTTACATATGGGGTAAGTACTTACTGTGAACAGATTGGTTCAATATTTACTTTGAGTTGATTGACTTCTTGATTTATTGACTGTACTTATAACTAGATGCCATTACCCCAGAGACCCAATTTGAACATTTTTTATTTACAGGCTGATCAGTAAAGGTGTCCGATTCAAGCCGAACAGTTCTCTTAGTCTGAAATATGGAACATACTCGGCTGCCCTACCAAGTACTAATCATTCTTATTGGCTGCAAATATTCCAGCACGTTATTATATCCGGCATCGTCCTCCCTCGGGGTAAGCAGGAGTATGTCTATATAAAACTATGCCTTCTGACTGACTGGCTGACCGTATAAGAGCTAAGCAGTTAAAATTAATACTGCAACTACTTCATGTGTTTGTAATAAAAATCGCGAGACGGTTTTTTTTTTGGTTCATTTTGATCGCTGCTTAAATTCATGCCAGAGGTCTTTCGCACTTTTTGAAAATTCTCTCCTCGGTGAAAACGGGGGTAAACAATTTGCTGCGTTTCAAGTTTGAACTTATTGAAAATTCGTGTTTCACACTTTTCTCAACATCCATACCTCTAGACACCACGGGATTTGAACGATCGGAAAACGTTGATTTCAAATTGTGGTTCTTAATTCAATGGATGACAAACCATTTTTAATATCTTAACCTGAGATGTTATTTTCAGGATAGAATGTGTGCAAATGTGCGACCAGTTAACCCGGACAAGGCCGGGTAATGCTACTAAGAAAAATTTTGTTTTTGATTGATTTATTAAAATATAATTTCATCTTGTTAGCTCACCTCCTCGGTTTCCGTGCCTATTGCTGAGTTCTATCCGGAACGTCGAATACTGATCGATTGGTGTTTTGCCATTTCTTACGACTTGCCCAGCGACTTGAGCTCGTTTTACAGCATACCCATATGGCCGGGTTTTGCAAACTATCAAACCAAGCGGGAACTACCTCGCACTGACAACAATGAACTAAGCTTGTATGCGAAATATGGTTACAATGCATTGACACAAACACATCCCAAGGACTTCTCAGCTGGCGAGCTTTATGCAAGCATTGAGGATGCATTCATCTCATATGGATTCCATGAGACCTGCCTCTTGCGCAGCGTTTGTGAGCTGGCGAAGCATCCATTCGACGATATGCATCAGCACATACTTATTGATATTTTGACGTTTATATTGAGGTGGGTTTGGGCTTCCCAGTCATATCTACTAGATACGTCTTTATATAAAGATATTATGTCTTTTCTTTGCAGTCCAACACAGCATGATGGTTTTCTGGAAAGTGAGCATGTCTATAAGCTAGCCTACGAACAGGCAGAGCTTTATGGATTTCTTGGCAACGATTGCGGCCAGCTCTATGCGCATTGCAAACACGATATCTTGGGACTTATTAGCAATGTCATGTTCCACAATGATTAAATAACACTGAATAATCAGCACGTGATGTAAACTGTAATGTCTATGCGTTTCATTAGCATCTGATTCGGGTCTTTCTGGACTTCAGCTGGGCGGTGCGTTGTTACCGTTGTCTTTTCCGTTTCACTACGAAATGTATCTTAAGAGTGTGCACTTCATTTTTGTTCTGGTGGCAGCGCTATACGTTTGCCAGGCCAGTGCCAAAATGTCTCTATTCTTTCCGGCCTCTTCGGTGTACCAGGTAACGGCGGCCTTATCAGTGCCGATCGTAATACCGCAACGCAAATTATTTTGGGACTGGGGCTTGCAAATGAACTACGCAATGCCCAGCAAGCCATCAAGTTTTTACGCGGCGGCCATCTGGCCAGATGAGTTTGCCCGACGTGACAAACGTCAGCTGCGCAATGAGACACAAAAATATATGCCAGTGGATCTGAATAATATGCATCCCAGCGATCTTACCGCTGGGGAGCTCTATATGAGCATCGAAAATATGTTTACTCGCTATGGCTTCGATGAGACCTGCCTGCTACGTAGTGTATGCGAACTGGCTCGACATCCGTTTCATGATGAGGAACAGAATATGCTGACGGCTCTCTTGACATTTACTCTAACGTAAGTAATCGGATCTATTTTGGAGCCATGTGTCACATATCTCACAATACACTTTCAGTCCATCTCTGCATGCGGCCTTTGCACCAGGCGAAACTATTTACCGCGAAATCTATGAGCATGCCGAGCAGCAGGGCTTTATGGGCGCAGATTGTGCCCAACTTTATACACAGTGTCCGGTCGACTTTTTAAGTGCCATAAGCAAACTTATCCACTAACATCAAATTAATTTGAAGACTTGTAAAATAGTTTATAAACACGACATTATCTACCCTGTATCTATAAACAAATGGTTTAAATTTTAACAAAAGTCTCAATATGAATTATTGATCAGAACGACAAGCTCTCTGCTTATTATTGACCGCGAAACTTGATATAAAGAGAATAGATATTCTTCACGAATCAGTGTTACAACAATAGTTGCCCCGCAATCAATAAATATGTAATCCTAATCTCTAAATTTTTGTATGCACAGATTAATTTTAACTCACATATCTTATAGGTCACTTAACTCCAGGGTATACAGTAGTCAATCATTTGTTAATTTTTTATTTCTGCCTGGCATATGGGTTAACAATTAAAATCAACTTCTACAATGGACTAAATGGCACGGAGTAAAGCGTCTGATACATTAAGCCGAAAACCTAAATGAATATTCAATTAAATAGATTTGTTGAAAATTGTCTTTATTTGTTTACATTCCAAAATCAATCTATGATACATTTTGTGTTACAATTGTCTTCATTTTTTTTTTTTTGGTTTGATTTAAAAATAAATGTGCCTAATCTAAACTCTCTGTGAGCTTGAAAGCAACTAAGATCGACTAGTTAATAAACGAAAAGATCGACGTTCGAACCATGCCCAACCTATTTCCCAATTCCCACTTTTTGTATTTTAATAGTTGGTAAATATATTTTGAAGTAACTCTTTACATATATGACTGGATATGTTTTGAATATTTGCATATTCCTTGAATCTTTCCATAAGCCCAAATCCTAAACCAAATCATCAATCACCCATTTGCATTAAGTGTCTAAGGCCTTAATTTATAGATTTAAAGTAATTTTATTTCATCCTACTAGATTGGTGACAATATTGAGCACATCCAACTTACACTTTGGATACGCTTGCTGGCAATCACCGCCCATAAGGCCCAATTTCTCGGCTCGTTCATATCGATATTGATAAACCTTTTCATTGGGGCCAAAGCCATCATGCTGCGAAGGCCTAATGTATGAGTAGGAAAGAGTAATCAGTCGAATGTTTATGTTCTGTAGTGGAGTGCACTTACGTTAGCAAAAAGCTGATAATCTGAACAATCAGGTTATAGCTATAACTGCGATTATCCGCAAAGGGATGCAGTGCCAGTTCGCAGACACTGCGCAGCAAGCAGGATCTGTGAAAGCCGTAGTCCTGCAATATGCCCTCCATACCCAAATAAAGCTCGCCGGCAGTGAAATCCCGGGGATGTACTCCACGCTCAGCCTCTAGCAGATCCATGGATGTGCTTGTTAAGTTATTTAAATTACGCTTACGACGCTCTAGTGCGTTGGACCAAATGGTCGGATTGTAGAATGATGCAAGATCAAATGGCAAATTATAATTCATTTGAAAACCCAAGTCCATGAAGACCTTTCGCGAATCTGGTATATCAATAGGCACCGACATAGATGACGTCACCTGCAGCACCGTGGATGTAGGAAATAGCAAAAGGCCAAAGGAGCCTGTGATTGAAATCGAAACGATGATCGCAACGAGAATCCCGTTTAAAGATTTTGAGTTGTGCTGCTGTGGCTGTCGCATTTCGTTGTGATCCATATGCCACATGATAAGCCAAAGCTGGGTTCCGGTTTTCCGACTTCTCTATTTGGGTCTCCAATTAACCAAAACTGTTAATGAGTCAAACATTTGTGCTGCGTGAGTCGCAATTAGAAGGGTAAGAGCTGCAGAAACTGGGACACAAATTCTGAAAAACAATAAAAAAAAAAAATAGTATGCATAATTTATTGTATACCTGCACATAAAATCACGCATACTGAACTAATACCCTACAACAGTTGAACGACTACACTGGAAAAGTAAAAAACAAGGTGTTTCTACGAAATACCTTTTTCTAGATATACATACATACCATTTGAAGAGAAATTATTTGCATATTGTAAACGCAAAATATTAAAATTGAATGCATTTGCACCGAAGGCTAACAGAGCAAGAATTAATGAAATGTTTATTCGTACAACATGGTCACAGCAAAACTGTATTTTATTTAAACAGCTGGATGAACTGCGTGCTAAATTTTTGACAGGTATGTTAGCTAAAAAGAACATGAAATGTGTCTTTTTTTGTTTTGTTTTTTATTTTTTTAATATTTATATTTAATACTAATTTAGTGAAACGGAAAAAAATAAAATGATTCTCCGAATTTATGAAAAACAAAAATAAATTGACTAGTATCTTCTTGTCAGCTGCCATTTAAATCGTTGGTTTGACATGTTAAAGAAGCTTTGAAGAAACCAGTGCAAATCATAAAAACTATTGTATTATAACAAAAGAAACAATTTTTTTAATTTAATATATTATTATTAAGTTATAAGTTTCATAACATCTAGATTATTATTTTTCGTACTATGGTTGATATGTCTACAAAACACCACAGCTCTGTTATTGTTGGTGTAGCTCAACTGTCAATTTCTTAAACAAATAAATGTTGCGTGGCCTTTTGAAGTTCTATTCAATGCTCAACATGGTACAACGACCACATTAGTGTGTCAAACGCTCTAATGGCAACAAGATGAGCCCCAACCAAGACCAGAGACTTTTAAATGTGCTGCTGCTAGCGGTAATTTGCGGAACGGCAATAGTAGCTGCCCATACGAACAGCATCAAGCCTAGCTTTATTACAGATGGTAGTCAGGGTAACGTCAGTGGAGTGCCGATTCCGAGCCGAGCTAATCCACCAGCCAAACTTATTCGAGCCAAACGTGTGGCTATTTTCAATGGCCAGGGCGTTGTCAAGGTACGTCATTTACACAATTCATTCGAATAAAAAATCTCACATCATTGCTAAAAATAATGTTTTTATAGTTCGTCAGCGGCGTAGCACATCCCGTCAAACAAGTTGATAAGGATCAATCATTTTGGTTCTTTTATAACTTTCAAAACCAATATATACCCACAACCATACCAATATATTGGTGGAGTTTTTGGAATACAACTGCATTTGTTTCCACAGCGCGTCAGTTGCGCAAGGGCATGCAGGCGACACTGCATCGTGACGATACGCGCAGTTGGGTCTATGATACCATCGAGGCGGGCATGGAACTGTAAGTGTGCAGATCTTACCAATTTGAATTATATGATTAAATGCATCAAAACTGTTTCTCCCCGCAGGCTGGATGGTAGTGAACGAGGTGCCAGCTGTCTGCTACGCAGCATATGCGAAATCTCTCAATTGCCTTTCGAGGATAGCAATATTTTTAGCGAAATTCTCAATGCAGTGCTGATGTGAGTATATGAGCTATTTGCAAATACTTCTAATACTTATAATGTCGATCCTACTTGCAGACCCACCGTGGATAACGTGGCCGAAAAGTATTTGAACGCTAGAGATGCGGGTCGTGGTGGAGCTGATTGCTTAAAAACCTACAGCGATTGCAATCAAAGAGTTTGGCACTGGTTAACGCATATTACGAAGCTGACTTTTTGATATAACCCACACATTAAAAAAAAAAAATCCATTATTTACGTGATTGCGTGTTTTACTTAAATATGGTTACATATTTTTGTAACATGATTTTAAGCTGGTTTAATTTAGTAACCCTAGAAAGCACGCATTTCTCCCAATCAGCACTTAGTCCTATCTCATAGTTTTTCTCATACTGCGACGACGCCACTCGGCCCAGGCCTCACAGAGCATAGGTTTCTTCCAGCAGATGCACTCGCTTAACGGTAGCGCATTGGGCTTCATACGCACGCATTCAGAGAAAGCCGGATATGGTGTTAAGGGCTTGGTACAAATAAGTGGCCTTTTCGTCTTTAGACAGTCGGGTGGAATGCGACCCGCACGGTGACAGCGACGCTTAAAGCGCGGGCAGTCGAGTCTTTCAGCAAAATCGCAATTTTCGGGCTGTGGGCAAGCAGTTTTGGGCTTGCGGTTCTTGCGGCGCCTCAATGGTGCAGCCTTGGCTTTTTCAAAGCAGCATATCTTCTTCTTCTTTAGCTGTACCGGAGGGCAGGAGACCCAGGTTTGCCAGTACTTTCGATTGGCCTTATCCGATTCAACGTAGTAGATGTCATCAAATCGCGGGTTGAATGGACAGTACACAGCTTCCTCGTCACAGAAGGGATTCAACCATATGGACGGCTGCTTAGTTATCCTCTTTTCGTTAACCTTTGGCGGTGGAGTCAACATAAACTCTGGCTTTCCGCATGGGAAACTGTCAAACTTCTTTGGACAAACGCTTTCTTTCTTCTTTTCACATTTATTGGATTTCGAACGCAGTGAAACCATAGCCCGAAAGCTGGACAACTTGCTAAAAGTCCCACGTCTTACCAACGATTTGAGGGCCAACATTTTAAAAAAATTTCTTTCTTTCTAATTTTATTTTTAGTTAAACAATCCGAAATATTGTATATTGAATTTAGAAAAAATTCCAAAAAATAAACCAAACCGTCTAGAAAAAACGAAAAGGTGAACTGACTTCCAGCTGTTAACTTTGTAGACTGAGCATTTCAGCAAATGTTTTACTTCACTCCATATTGAGTTCGATTGTAATCTCAATGTCTACTTTTTCATTGAACTCTGCCCAACATTCCATGATAGAAATTCCAACACTCTATAAGGGCAGGAAACCGCATAGAAACGACTACAGTCACGCACATCCACGCGATGTTTATATTTAGCATCGGCTATCTCTTCGGGCACACTAAAATGGATCGATTAGCATAAGCATTTCGTGTTCTAGCAGTAAACCTCACGTTAATATAATCCGCAAGAGATCCTCCATTAGCATACCCTGGCCATGGTGCTCATTGAACCTGGCCTTTAACTCACACATGGCACGTTTTATGCAGGATCTTAGGTCCATCTGAAAGCTATTATAAAATATGCATATTATTTGTGTAATAATATAATTTATAATTTACATAATATAGTATAAGACAATTAAATTGTATTATATTAAGCACACTTACAAATTTCCCATTGCCTCAAATTGATCAAAGATAGCGCGTCGTTCTCTATAGTCACGATTTAGCTTCCAGCTGGGCACATGTACCCAGGATTCATAGACTTCTTCCTCAGCAATGGGCTGATGACTGCGTTGCCAGGGCTCCTCGCTCAATTGCCAAGGGCTTTTATAAAAGTAATATTTGTGTGTTTTGGGTTTAACATATCTGCATAAATTTGAAAAAAAAAAAAACAAAACGAAAATATATATATTAAAGCGAAACTCTATAGCTAAGTTGGACTAGTTGGACTTTACTTGGTATAGCTCTCTGCTTGGTAGGGTCCAAGATAGTACATATTAGGTCTACGATAAGGATATTTGTAAACTGAGCTATTCTGTGCGTATCCCTGCCAATTCCAATCCCAACGACGTTTTGGCTTTGTCACCTGTTGTTTTTTATTATCTGTATGATCCAGGAGTATTTTCGGACTCCAGCCTTCCACAGTGTCCGGTAGCGGTACATACATATCAAATTCTAAACTATATTGCAGTCCACTTGGTCGACCGCCTACAATAATTTTGGTCAACGCTGCCGTTATCAGCACCGAGGCCTTATTGGGGAATACCAGAGCACGAACGCGTCGCGAAAGTAAGCGCTCCTTAGGCGCCACCGATTCTGTCTTGTTGCCTGCAGCGAAAGCCGCAGCAAAATATCCAAATAGTATGGAGAGTAGCACAAGTGTATAACGCCCCATACTGATGCAGTCAACATACGAATCTGAACTGAGTGTCTGTCGGCACCTCAGAAGAAATAGCTCTTGGACTAGAGACGATCGCACTTCGGACTATTTCCAAACTTGCAGCACGTAGCTTAAACATTTGTTTTACCATAATGACCAGCAGCTGGTATTAATTCGCTTATGTCTTTTATATTTTAATTTAGAGCTTTCTGTTTTAATGTTCTGTAGAACTTTAAAAAAAGAGAAGGCAAATCAAACATGCGATCACATTGATATGTAGGCAATTTCACATTTTCATATTTCATTAGTGGGTCACGAATTAGGATCATTTTGGACAAAAAAACAAAAACCGTCAGGTTGATCATCGCATAGCGAAAGATAACACGACACGGGTCCATCTCTAGTACCGACTGTCATAGGTGCGCTAATTGTCCAACCGGGTGACCGGCACAACAATGCCTCACCAATTACAACATACTAATTCAAGTAATCTAGGCAGTACAAACATAATATAAGATCAAGTTATCCATGATATATGGTCTGTCGTTGTAATCATCACGTAGCACTTATTCGCCTCAGTTACATTTATTGCTCCTTTCTAAAAAGTACAACTTTCGGCATTCTCGCACGGCACAAAATATTACAAAACTTAAAAAAAAAAAAACCTAGTAAATTTTATTGTTAGAAGTGGCCCCCATTAGTTTTCGTATCCAGAATGGTTAACTTTAATAATAGTACAAAGATGATGGTGAATCGGTGCATGGAGCTGCTAAACGCGAAAATTGCACATGCCCAGACCCGACACATTGCCAAGCGTGTGCCGCTGGGCCGTATTAGCCCTCGTGCCCTGGACACGAAGGCAATATTTAGGGAACGTCAAAAGGCAGAGAAATATGAGGCCTGCAAGCGTCTCTCGATGTGGGAACAGAACAAGGACCAAGGAAGTGGTTGGGGAGAAAACGAACGTTTGGATCATTCCCACTACAAGCATTGTCAGCTTCAGGAACGCACATATGATTGCACTTGGACGAAATTTCCAGAGGAGCCCAAGCCCAAACAGCGAAGAATGTTTAAATCGGAGGGACACATCCCAATCTGTCGCCGAAAGACTGGAACTCGCCCTGAAACGGCCAAGCCGTGGGACGACGAGGCTTCAGACTTTATTAAACAATGGGACAACAATAACGCCATGATAAACCGCAATAGATTTGGTAAAACAACGCATTTCAGTCAACCGCATGTTGGAGGAGGATCCTTGAATAGCAAAAACCCCAAAAGGAAATTATTCTATTACTAATCGCACCATTAACTGACTAATCCGATACGCTAATGTAAAAGTTTTTTTTAAATTGTAATATGAACATTAAATTTACTGGTAGGACAATTATTTCATATTGTTGTAATTTTCATTTATACACTTCGCGTATTTAAGTTTGTGAATAGAATGTACATATGTATGTAATATAGATCTATCAATTTAACTCTGGGCGTTAATTTATTTTTTGGTTATGTGGGCTTCAAGTAGGGACGGAAGCATCTTAATTTTTCTGGCTGGAATGAGTCGATTTTCAAATTGCCCGCCGCGCTGAAAATTAAATATTGCCGTATCCTGCGTTTCGTATGCATTTGAACTAAAGATTTATATTCAGAACCTGTGTTGGTAATCGAAAAAATTATATCTCTGCTCTTGACAAATTCCTGGTAACATATGTTCGTCATATGTCAAATTTATTTATTTCGCTTAAATTTAAGCAAAATCGCTTAGTTGTTTCCAAATTGTTTGTTTAAAAATAGACAAATATTTCCCTATTGGTTTTTTACTTTCGATTAAATCGTAATGATACTGGCACAGATTGGTAGACAATTGATTTTTAAATCTGTACGTTGTCTAGGCACTCGCAAAGATGGATTATTTCGAAAAGGGCTAAAATTACCCAAGCTACCCATTAAAGGACCAAGGGATTATGATTATTGGCGTCGTTTGAAACGCAAACCGAAAAACCCAAAAGACAAATCGCCAAGAACTAACAAATTAAGTCCGGGTAGGCCAGCGGTTTACAAGCCAAAGAAAAAGAGTGAAACAAAACCCGACGAAGATGATTTAACAACCAAAAATGAAAATCAAAACTAATCCATTTTTCAATCAAAAATCATAAGACGAAATAAATTCAAATTTACTGCAATCTATATGGCACCTCTGACAACAGCTGTCGCGAATATGTACTCATTTACTCGCTATCGCCAAAAGTATCGCTTGCAAAAATCATCTGTTTTTTTCTTTTTTTTTTTTTTGTTTCTTTGTTTTTGACATTATCGTTCGTTTGGTCGTTCGTTTATCTGCCATGGCGCTGCTGAGGAGCGTTTCAAATGGATTTTCTGCCGTATTTCGACGCTTTGCCAGTTCAAGTGGATGCACTATTTACAGCCTCAGTTCGGGCCACGTCAAGTGCGGCGTCTCCGTAATACGTGTCTCCGGCCCACAAACCAAGCAGGCGCTGCGCGCCATTGTTGATAATGGCGAATACGAACCAAAACAGCGACAGGCATATCTGAAATCGTTTTATCATCCCACCAGCAAAGAGATTATCGACCGCGGTCTGCTCCTGTGGTTTCCTGGACCAGCGTCGTTCACGGGCGAGGACGCTTGTGAATTTCAGGTGCACGGCTCGTTGGCCGTTATTGCGGCAATGCTGGATGCACTTGGCCAGTTGCCCGGCTTAAGACCCGCTCAGCCTGGTGAGTTTACAAAGCGTGCGTTTTTCGGCGGCAAACTAGATCTAACCGAGGTTGAGGGCTTGGCCGATCTAATACACGCCGAAACGGAGGCACAGCGCAAGCAGGTATATCATATATATATTCAAATATATTATAAAAATTCATGTGAATTCTCCAATAGGCTCTTCTGCAAAGCACCGGCGCTTTGGGTCGGCTCTATGACAGCTGGCGCAAACGGCTCATCCGTTGCGCCGCCCATCTGGAGGCGTATATTGACTTTGCTGAAGAGGAGCAAATAGAGGGCGGCGTTATAGTAAAATTGACCAGGGAACTTAATGCCGTGAAACAGGAAATACGTGCACATTTGAATGATCAAAGACAGGGCGAACTGCTACGGGATGGTGTGCGCACAGTCATCATCGGTGCTCCCAATGTAGGCAAGAGTAGCCTTTTGAATCTACTCTGTCAGCGTGCCGTATCTATTGTGACCGAACAGGCAGGGACAACCCGCGACATTATTGAGACAATGCACAATTTTGGCGGCTATCCAGTGGTCTTTGCGGACACAGCAGGCCTTCGCAAGCACACCACAGATACTATCGAGGTGGAAGGCATGGCGCGTGCCAAACAATGCTTAGCCAGCTCCGATCTTATTTTGTTGCTCACGGACGCTAGAGCTTTACGTAAGGTGGAAAACAATGAGGCACTAACTGGCCACATCGATAACTATTTGGAGGAACTGGACATACCGCCGGAGCTGTGCAGTGGAAAGCGCTTGCAGTTAGTGGCAAACAAAACGGACACCTTGTCAGCGGAGGAAGTTCAGCGTCTCAGCAAACTGGACAATGTGTTGGCACTATCTTGCCACAAGCAAGACAATTTGCCCGAGTTTCTGGGCTCCTTACAACAGCTGCTGCAGCAGCTATGTGGCGTACCACAGGCGGAACATCCACGCATCACGCACACGCGCTACAGACAGCAATTGGAACGATGCATTGATCACATCGAGATATTTCTACGAGATTACAAACCCGATGTCTACCCAGACATGGCCATAGCAGCGCAGCAGCTACGTAAATCTGTGCGCTGCATAGAACGCATCACTGGACATGTCAGCTGCGAAGATATACTCGATGTGGTCTTTAAAGATTTTTGCATTGGAAAATAATTCGTATTTTAGTTTTTAAGTATTAAGCTTGCAATGTACAGAATATATGGACTGCCAATATGATTAATTCATCCTAATATCAGTTAGATTTACATTTTCAACAATTTGGTAGGAACAAAGTTATCTGAATATTTCAACCAATAAAATGTTGTCGATTGATTCGTTCTATAAATAAGTTATGTAAAAAATATTTACATGTATAGTTTTAGTCTATTCAAATTATTAAAGACGTGTTAAAAATATGTTTAAATAAAAAACATTCATGAATAGGTGTTAATCAGTTGAAGTCTCAGTATATGTTTATGTTAAGAATAATAATATTATCAATACCAAGACAACATTTTATTGGATATGGCAAAGGCATTATGCCTACAACTATCTAAAGGTATCCTTAAACCACATTCCTCATTAATTATTATTATTTCCATTCAAAGAACATCAATAACTGCGAAATGTGGAATACATATTAAAAGCAGAAGGGGAATACCGTCATTAACGTAAAAGTTATCAATCGTTCAAATCGATAAGGATTGGTTAGAAAATATCGATTACGCGGCTACTGACATCTCTAGAAAAAATGAAAAACATTACTTAAACTAATAAAATACAACGTGCAAATTGACATATTGAGCAGAAAACTGCGCGAAAAGGTCACACACTGTGTGCTGGTTGTGCGGGGCAGTCTACGAGCTTTTTGAGTTGCGTCAGCAGGCAATAAAATGCCAGGCAAGGTGGGCGTCAAAATAAAGGCTGCGCGTAATCTGCCAGTGATGGACAAGAGCAGCGAGACAACCGACGCATTTGTGGAAATTAAGCTGGCTAATAAGGAGCACAAAACCGAGGTATTCCGGAAAAGTCTTAATCCGACATGGAACACCGATTGGTATGTAGACAGCACTTGTTCGTCTATCAGTTATATTTGATCTTTGGTTGCTGCAGGTTTCGCTTTGAGGTCGATGACGCAGAGCTGCAGGACGAGCCACTGCAAATACGTCTTATGGATTATGACACCTATTCGGCAAATGATGCGATTGGCAAGGTTAACATAAGTTTGAATCCGCTGTGCCTGGAGAGCTCTAGTCAATCCGGCCATGGCAAGGGCACCGTGCTCTCTGGCTGGATACCCGTCTTCGACACAATGCATGGCATACGTGGTGAAATAAACGTTATTGTCAAAGTAGATTTGTTCTCCGATGTCAACAAGTTTCGACAGAGCTCGTGTGGCATTCCCTTCTTCCACTGTGCGTAAAAAATCTTACCATGTTAAGAACACTTAATAACTATTCCCTTCTTCCAGCACAATGTGTTCCGTTTGGATTTCGGGCGCAGGTCATACATGGCTTTGTCGAGGAACTGGTCGTCAATGATGATCCGGAATATCAATGGATTGACAAGATACGTACACCGCGCGCTTCCAACGAGGCACGTCAGGTTGTCTTTCTCAAACTGTCCGGGCAGGTGCAACGAAAGATGGGGTTGAAGGCCATTAATATGGGCGCTAATGCTGTCATCGGTTATACGCAATGCTTTGACCTGGAGGGCGATGTGGGCGTTGTCGCACGTGGCGTCGGCACAGCTGTAACACTGATAAAGGACACCAGTAGTAGCCAGCCAAACAGCGCGGATGTACCACTCATCGAAGAGTGAGTATTTGTTTAAAAATGAAATGAAATGTTTCCAATATACCTTTCAACTATGGAAATGTCTTACGAATTGATTGCACCTTCTATAGTGGTAAAAGGTTCAGCATGCTTTTATCTCAAGAAACACACGGAAAAAGCAACGAATAACTTAGGTAAACTGTATAAAACCCTATATGACATATGTATCTATTCGGTCCGTTTAAGTAGTACAGAAAAAACTTGAGGTTTGAATCGCTCGCTAACTTTGGATACTTCAAAACGCTTTCCTGTTGACTCTGACTATACAAAATATAATAGCAGAGAGGCTAGATTGCTATCGATTCCACTTATCAGTACATAAAAAAGGGGGTCCGAGATTTTTTTTTCTAAATAAGAGGACCAATACGAAAAGAAACTTTTTCAAGACTGTAGATATATAAATTATATGCAAATTTGATTTCCAACCTGAAATTTCAATCACACTTGCTTAAGACAATTCCATGATAAGAAGGTATAGGCCCCAAGCATATTTAGTTTGTGTCCATTATTAGGTCTGCTAGTAGGTCCAAGTGGCTCAAGCTGAAAATATGTTCTAAAGCATTCTATTTTCTTCTCTTGAATGTTTTCCCCTTTACCCGCCGTTCACGAATTAAAAACTCAATCGTCGTTTAACGTTCATTTCTGTATAAAACCTGTTCTGTACTCCTTGTCGTATTTATGTTGTTGTATTGCACCCCCTTCAATCGTTGTTGTTTTTGTGTCGTATTTATAACACTTAAAAACGCCACCACTCACCCAATCGACCACCGAATTACATGTCTGAACCATGAACAGCACACATAGAGCCCAAAAGTATTTAGATTTTCTAAACTGCACCGGCGGCAGCAGCGCTAGCCTGCCGCTGTCCGGCCGTTCGCCACAGTATCGTCTTAATATATATAAACAGCCCAGTGTGAGTGCCAGATCGGCGGCAGCAGCAGCAGCGGCGGCGGCAACGTTGTTCTATTTGGAGAGCGGCAGCAGCGATACGGAGGATGGGGATGTTATGCAGAACTTGTTGAGGCAGGAAGATGAACGTGGAGAGCCAACGCGGGAGAAAAAGCTACGACATCGCATGCACCGTTTGACACTATCCTCACGGAATGTGTTCAGCGAGAAATACGCAACACTTTTGCGTCGCATGGAGCCCAAGATACCAGAGAATGCCACTCAATCACTAAGCAGTTTATTTGGTGGAGCCGGAGCAAGTGGCAAGCGTCATCGCAAATCACGTAACTCGATGGGCAAACGGTCAACGCAGGCAATAACGCGTTCCATAAGTGATAATACTGGCGCAGGGCCAACCATGTGCCTACTAGCGGTTCCACAACTGCCCGAGTTTCAAGAGAACACTCGCTCGGCACCGGACCTGGAGATGGATCTATTTCAGCGTAAGTCCATGTGCTCCACGGACTCTACGGAGTCATTGTCAATAACTGAAACGCTTGCCACAGGCATTGACAGTGCAGCAGCAGAAGCATCCAGCGAAGATGATCAAGAGCAAGACGAACGGTTCGATGATGATAATTTGCAGGATAACTGGATTAGGCCCGGCGAGACGCGCAGCTGTGAGAACAGCCAATTAGACTTGACACCCAAACGACACACACTTTTTGAGGATTTGAAGGGTTTCTCGCGGCGTCTGCAGAAACTGATGCACCTGACGCCCAGGCAGTCAATACAACCCAAATGTGCCCTGCTGCTTGCCACTGCTGCACTGGAACCGTCACTGGAGCGCAAGTCATATTATAGTTCACAGCCGGAGCTGCCCACGAGCAGTGCCATGGATTGGCCCTGTGCAAATCTGAGTGCATTCGTATCCATGCTGCAGCTAAATCATTTGCCCAGCTATGAATCCACGCTTAGTCAGTTCGCTAGCGTTAATTGTCTAGATGCTGCACCATTAGTAGAGTTTGATACCCGTGCACCATCAGCATCACCCCCAGCAGCAGCGCCATCATCAATAGCTCCGAACACGTTGCTGCCAGTTGCGCCCGTGCTGTGCATTTGCCCCTCAACACCCACTCCAACTGAATCCGACAATAGCTCACAGCTATCGCCCACACAGACGCGTGCCTTTGAATATTATGATCCTCCCGTTTTTAAACTAGACCATGTTGTAAATATTTCTAATAGTACTAACCATAGTAACAACAATAATAAATCATCATTGCTTGCTCCATGCTATTCTGTTTCGCCATTTGCCATACAAAACCAACAACAACGCTCAACTAGGTCCAGCAGCGATCTCCAGCAGCTTCAGCAGCAGCAGCAACAGTCGCCGGCACAGGCCGTGCTCATTCCCACAACCATTACGACAATCGAGAGTAATGCGAGTGGGAAAAGGTTTGCATCGCCGGTTAGCAGCAATCGCATGAAGCTAACGCCCAGTCCATCCAAGAGCGGAATTTCGGGTGGTGGGAATGCAGACAGCGCATCTACATCAACCACCTCAACAGCTACAACAATGGTGCAGACCAAAGAGCTGGGTGAGATATGTCGTCGCTCATCCGACTCCGACCTGAGCGTAACCCCAAAAGGTATGTAGTCGTCCATTCTCTATTTGCACTAGTTATAGCAACTAAGCACAGGCTAAGCAAGGTTATAAATACTTGTATGCATACTTAGGCTAAGCGTTTTTCCCCTGCTGCTTTTCCTTGCGTATGTGTGTGTGTGTGCGCGAGTGTTTGTGTGTCTCGTGCCTCTCTTGAGTAACTCATAAACTCTTCTAATGTTCTCTATTTGCGCCTGCTGCTGAATCAAACGCCATCCAGGTATAGCCTACATATTGCATCGCAAGCGTAAGTAGTTGTCGTCTTACTCTCTCTCTCCCTCTCTCTCTGTCTGTCTCTTTCGCATTCTCGATGTTCATTATCAATGTATTTGTGTGTCAAACCTCTCCCCGCTATATGTGTGTGTGTTAGTGAGTGGGTGATTGCAGCTAACATCCGTTCGCTCTTTATATGTTGTAAAAGGCTCTGCCTCTCTCTCAAGCCTCGCCTGAGCTAGACTCTCTTTATCTTTCAATCCTGAATTAAAATAAATAAAAATATGAATCAAGACTGCAAACTGTTCTTTGAACCGGACTAGTTTGCAACTAAACTGATGAAAAAATATAAATATATATTTATTTTATATTATATTTATATTTATCCTTCATCTCTCTTTCTATTTACCCATTTATGTCTTTAATAAAACAAAAAGAAAATACAAATAAAAATTGTATCTTAAGCTTAAGAGTGTATATCTAAACTTATCTGTTAATCGAACCCATTTATCATCATAAAATAAATCAAATTGCATGATGCAAACATTTAATAGTCTGCAGCCTCCGACTGTGACTATGGGGAACAAAATAACTTTCAAATATATCAAATATATAAGTGTGGGCTTACGGTTGTAAAAGTTGTCAATAATATGCATTAAGTCTCATATTTGGTCATCAAGATACCACAATTAAATTTAATAGCTCAATTTTAGTTTTTGATAAATATATATATGTTATCCAGAGTAGTGAAGGTTTAATTGTCAAAAATTGTAAAATTAACTTTAGCTCTTTGATTTTTCGAAGACAAAAGTATTTTTCGATCACTTTATTAAAGGAGATCATTCGATCAATTACATAGGCTAAGGTCTGCTTATACATACAAACTGATATATCATAAATCCTTTTCCATAGAATCCGATTATACAATTACATTTTAATAATATTTTGCTCAAAAGTACTTTTGGCAATGAAAGTGGTGATATGCCAACTCAAGGAATTAAAAATGTATTTTGATATAAGCTAAACAAAACTATCTCCCTTAAGCATTAGCGAATTCGATATATTATTTTTATTAAACCATATCTTATGTAATGTGTGCCTTAACGTTGTAAATGTGTGGACCCATCGTTTAAAAATGTTATATTTAAAGACCGATTTAAAGAATTAGTAAATTCCATTGGCAGGCAACTCCATTTGCGTGGCAAGCGAGCGTTTGGTTGCGGCCACGGCCATGATGCGCCTAACCACACCCACAGTGGGCAGCAAGGCAACGGATAGTATAGATATGCTGGAATACCCTTTCCTAACAATGACCAAATATCCAACTGGCTTTATACTGCACCTGGGCGCAACTGTAGCGGCCAGGTCGGTGAAACTCCTAGAACGAGTGCCCAATCCTGATGAGCCTGAAGTACGGGACAGCTGGTGGACTGAGCTCCGCATGGAAATTCGGTCTCATGCCCGTTCTTTGGGATGTAACGTGGTGCTAGGTTACATGGAGTCAACAACAATATCGTAAGCCAATGGAATCAAATAATTATCAAGACTCAGCTTAATAAGTAATCTAATCCATAACTCATTACACAGTGAAGATGTGTGCGTTTTGTCTGCCACAGGCACCGCAGCAGTCATCAACATGGTCTTTAAACGGTCCGTTTCGCAAACTGATATTTTTGCCATATCCAAGGCAAGCAACAATGTGGCTGCGATGTCCAATTCGCTGGAGGAGCGCGAAGCAAACGGCAGCGTTAGTGAGGCAGCAGCCTCTAGCAAGGACGGCAGTTCATTAGCTACAGCTAATGGCTCGGGTTCGGCAAGCAAGCGGTATGGCTTGCCAGCTCCTAATGCACCACGCAAAACGTGTGCGATCTGCCATGTGCCATACAACCTGAGCTCGGTGAAGATGAAGAAGTGCGCCATTTGCCGCAAGGGTCGGGTGCCAGATGTACTGCTGGCCACGCTGGAGGTTCCAGAGTTCATGCAGGTTACTGGACGCGGCTGCTTCATGCAAGCGCAAGTTGTCCGCGCTAAGCGGGATCTGCGTGCCGAACTGAATGCCAAAGATATTTCCGATGGATTGCCCTTTTTAGAATACGAGCTGCACCGTGTGCTGATTAATAAGCTGAAGGCCAAGGGCATGAATGCCATTTTTGGACTGCGCACCCAGGTCGCCATTGGCGAGCGCATGATAGCGCTAATTGCCACGGGTACAGCTCTTTTTCTGACTGCGCTCCCCGTGCCGCTGGTGCCTAAAATTGTGGCAGGCAACTCTTGGACGGACAAACAAAAACTCAACGAACTACAGAAAAAGTTGCAGGAGACATTTGAGCGCAACCAAGAGATTTATCAGTTAAAAAGCATGGATCCTGACATAGTCAGCGCTAGTGGTGCCGCGGGAGACAAGCATTCGGATAGTGATGATTCGGATGATGAGGAAATGAATGAAATCGATTTGAACTGCGGAAACAAAGAGATGTGTGTGCTAGAAGTTGATGATATTGAGGATTTGGAAATTATATCGCTGCTCATGGAACCATATCCACCTGAGGGCTTTCATGTCGTAAACACGCAACAGGTGCCAGGTATGCTGGAGCTGGATGGTGTTAAGAATCTTCAAATGTTTACCCAAGTGTGGCGTGCTCGCCTCGAGGTGGGCCAAAGCGTAAATGGATTCCCTAAACACTTTCAGCGGTGAGCATTAATCCAAGCCTTCCCAAAAACATCATTATCTTTATATAATCTAATCATACATTTCCACATTTCAAAATCCTGTGGATACATACACTAAACTTCAAGGTTTAACATTTATGCGTTAACATTTTACATGAAAGAATATCACTGTTACAGGGCTGTTAACACCTACGTTACACAAAAAAAAAACTGGCTCGTAAGATCTTACCTTCTAACTACAGTTGTCACTATATACAAAGTTGTTTTCCACGATTGACTGACTCATTGGTGATCAACACACACCCAATTAATTTGTATATTTCGTTAAATTCCAGTCTTCTACAGACCATCTATTTTAAGCTGCGCACAATGATACCCTGTGCAATTTGTGATCTGCGTTTTAGATTGGATTTGCCTGAAACAGTAAGCATTTCAAAAAATACTCTAGGATATTTACTAAAACTTGACGCTCACACAGGACCAAATCCAATTACTTGTAACTGGCATGGCCATGGGCCTGAGTGATGCCAACAAAATGAAATATCGACGCCGGGGAGCGCCGGTGGCACAGCTCCAGAATGGCTTCAATGATGCGGCAACGCAGCCAGTAGCCGTTGTCCATGAAACCCAATCGCAGCCTGAACTAAATGGCAAGCGAATGCTACAAGAAGAGGATTACATTTTTCCGCTGGATGAAGATCAAATGGTCGATACTCCCACACCGACCAGCTCAGCAATACCTCCGTTCGGCATGAGTTCTTTCAAAGTGCGAAAGACTTCGCCATCGCGATTAAATAATTTAGCGACAGCTTTACCGCCAGCCAAGCCGCTCAACATGACACCAGCGGCGCGCAATCGCTATGTAAGTGGAAGATTGCTTCTTTTTCTTGTTCTCCACTCAGTTCTTTGGATGTTTTTAAACAGTTCCCGCTACGCGATCGCCATGGAGTGGACTTAACCCCACTTAGCTTCATACCAGGTGGACGGATTGAAAAGTATTTGGGCAATCTGAACTTCTTCTTCATTAGGGAGAGTACCTCCATACGCGAATACGGTGGCATTAGCGGATTCGTGCATGGCTTCATCACTGAGCTGCTGGCCGTGGTGCGCGCCCATATTGCTTCCCTAGGAGGTAATGCGATGGTCTCCTTTTATTTGACCGAACTGATGTTATTTGATAATCAGCACAAAAATCAGGTAATATATAAAAAAACCGATTTATTTATAGGTGTTTATGCTTCTTTTCTACTCTGTTATAGGGTCAATGCCTGATTAGCATCGGTGGCGATGCGGTCTATGTCAGCTACTATGCCGATGACTGATATACACGTTTGCGGGGCATATAGCGCCTGTTTTACGCGAATCGCCCCAAAAGTCTCTACTACTAAAACTCTCTTTTGTTGTCTCTCTCTATGGATGCTAACTCCATATCAACCCTCTGGCTCAGCGCGATATGACTTGCCCTGTTGACAGGCCCAACATATGAACATGCTTGTTGACTTAAATATGTAATACATATATAGAGTAATCGGTATTTACTATAACGACTATATATAGTTGAAATCAATATGCAATATTGGAACTGTGACTTGACTTTCGACATGTAGAATGAATTTTTCTTGTCTTGTTATTTGTTTGCTTACTGTTTAAAGCTTAGCTCCTTGCAATTATCATAACCATACTTTGTACATAGTCGAGATGTTTATTGAATTTAAATTTTGATAGATAATTTTTTTTCTTTTATTTTTGTTGTGAGCAAATAGCTCTAAGCAATACATTATACACAAAAAGTGTAATCAATTTTGGCAACACAGAATTGAACCACCAACTTATGTAACATATATCTATATAAATAATACTAAATAATATGCAATATTTGAAATTAGAATCCGAAAAATGTGTAACGGATGTTTGTTTTACCATTCAGTTGGGACTTGTGGAGAGCAGCACAAACATAACCCAAAGATGCAACAACGCTACATAAACAATTATGCAAATGCGCATCATTGGATAGCGACGTAAAAAGGCGCCGACACGTATACCTACAGAGTCTGCTTGTCGAAGGGCGCGCTTAAAACGACGTGCAACACGATTGTCAAACGGGCTGGGATGCATGAGCAGGGGGAACTGTGCCTTGACTGGAAATAAAGCTTAATTTAATTGTCCAATTTATGGCCACATGACAATCATAAACGTACCGTCATCGGTACTGTTGGAGAGCAGCGTATTGCGCGAACTGGAGATGCCACGTTGATGACCCATCTCTAGGGAGTGCATGCTCTGCTGCAGCTGTGTCTGCATGTTCTCGTGCTGAAGACGCAAAGCATTACGCTCCGCAGTGACCCGTTCCAGCAGACCTTGACGCTCGACCAGCGATTGAGTTAGGGCTTTCAAGCGGTTTTCGTAGTCAGTCTTTGCACTTGTAAATCCGGTCTCACTTACAAGCTGCCGTTGCTGTTGCAATTGTTTTTCCTTCTCCTGCAGGCGTGTGGCGGCAGCGGCCAATTGATTGCTCATCTGTTGACGCAGCGAGGTCAACTCCTGCGTTAGCATGCGCTGCTCCGATTCGATGGCCATATTGTGCTCACGTGCTGTACGAAGATCTTTGGTGAGCGATTGCTCCCGCTGACGGGCGATGCCGAGTTCCAGCTCATGTTGGCGCTCCAGCGCAATGCAATCATCCAGCTGAACGCGTAGTTTCTGCTGCTCTTCGCTGGCGTGCTGCAGCTCCTGCTTAAGAGCATCGTATTCGATTTGAAGAAAACGCGTTTCACTCTCCTTGGCAGCCAGTTCACATTCTGCGCCTTCTGCAATCGGCTTTTGTTTGAGCTCGGCAATTAGCGCATCTTTCGCTTGCAGTGCACGCTGCGCTTTGACGCGATACTCGTGCAGCTCAAGGCGCTGTTGATCCGTCTCCTTGGTTTGCATTTGTAACTTGTGTGCTGTGCTTACATATTCTTGTTGAAGCTTGGCGAGATTCGTTTCTAATTCAGAGATGGAGTGTACGTAGGCCATGTGAGCAGTTTGTGCCTCGTTAAGCTCATGGACGGCCCTGTCGCGTTCCTCAGATAACGTTTGAGTAAGACTTTCCAATTCCTGTACCCGCTGCTTCAGGGCAAGGTTCTCATTGTCGTGGTTTAGCTCATCAAGTCTCAAACGCAACTCATCGCGCTCGCTAGTAATCTCGTTGAGAGCGATCTTAAATGCCGCCAATTCATGGGTGTCCATACCGTTCCCGTTGTCTGGATTGACTGAGAAACTGGCCGAGGTGGTCAACTTTTGTCGCAACTCTGTGGTCACCACATGCGAACCCTCGCTTTTGGCGCTAGAGGCGCTGTTGCCAACCATAGACAAGGACATGGGTGTGCTACTGTTGCTTGTGCCACGCTTGGCCGGAGAGAGTGTGGTTTTAAAAGATTGTGTACTGCTAGTTAGGCTGTTCTTCATAGCATCTAACGCTGGACCAGCTTCAATATGCAAAGCCGTAGCAGCATTCTGGTCTATTTTGTTTAGTATATTCTCTGCCTTATCCGCCAGCCCCGTTATCCACGACGACATTTCAAATTACAAATAAAACACGCAATTTAAGCTTGGAAAATGCTGAATACGTGGAAATCTTGTTTGTTTATGTCAGCGCCAGTGCTAGCGAACGTCTTTACAACTGCATTTAACAACACTGAAAATATCGATACAAAATTTGTCTAATTATTCTATCGATAAAATCTAACACTGCACACACGAAAAAATCAATAGTCGCCGCCATATTTTTTCACTTTACTCGGACGCGTTTTTATGTTTAGGTAACTGCAAAAATAGTTTACCGACAAAGAAAAGTGGTAAAATAGTGGTAAAAGAGCGGCATATAATACAAAACTATTGTTAATGATTTGTATGGTTTAATAATTCGTGAAAACTAAAAACGACAGCGTGTGTGCGCGTCCGAGTGTAGTCTGTGTGTATGTGTTGGTCTCTCAGTATTGCGGGCTGTGTAAAATAATTAAAAGTAGCATTGCCATTGTTATAACCTCAGCTAGAGCATGGAAGGAGCTGCACAAGTAGCGGCCCCCCCGGTAGGTGGGCCACGTGGCGGTGGTTACAGAGGCCGCGGCGGAGGCCCACCCATGCGTGGTGGTTTCGAGCGGGGACGTGGACGGGGCATGGGTCGCGGTCACTTTATGGGTGGCATGCGCGGTGGTGGCATGGGCGGCGGTGGGCCGCCTATGCAGGGTATGATGCAAGGACCTCCACGCGGCATGCGTCCTCGAGGCGGACTGGGCTATCAAGGCCGGGGTGGCGGCGGTTTTCAACCACGCGGTGCTCCAATGGGCATGCGAGGCGGACGCCCACCAATATACCAACAGCGTAAGTGCACTAAATGAAACAACATCAGTTGAATAGAACAGCTACATATCAAAACCATGCAGCGCCCAAACAGCACACGGGCGCCGATAACAACAAGACTGTATCGCCGGTGCCCACAGCTGCAGCAGCTGGTGAGCAGCAGACAGGCGAAGCAGCAGGTGAAGATGGTACAGATGCAGCAACGGCCGGCACAGGCACGACAGCGGTTAACTCACACGTGGCGAGCGGTGCGCCTGGCAGCAATAGTAGCAACGGTGGAGGACCGCCTCCATATATTAGTCGAGGTCGAGGTCGCGGCGGTCCATTCAGCGGTCGCGGACGAGGCGGGGGTTACAATCCACACATGAACGGCAGCGGGGGCAATGGCATGTATCCGCACTCACATCATGCTAGCTCCATGGGCGGACCAGGAGGCGATCATGGAGGAATGCCTCGTCGCGGCTCTATGCGCGGACGCGGCGGTGGTTACAATCAAGGTATGAGTCGGCCACCCATGCAACATCACCAACAGGCACATAATGTCAATACACAAATTGCACCGGTACCAGCTCTCAAACGCGGCGCACCCGGAGGTCCAGGCCCCAAACGTGGACGATACGAGGGCGGACCCTATAGCCAGCGGCCTATGACACCAAAGTATCATTCGGCATCCCAGCATATGCCCCAAACAACATATGGCTCACCGCCCAGTCATCACGCGCCAGCGCCAAGGTAAGCTCAATAGCTTTACGGCTGGCTAACAATTTGCCTTTCTTTAATGCTTACTTGCATCCTCTTAGTAACCATTTTGATAGTCATTTTGATAGCAATTAATATATAGCTTATAATCTCAGGGTTTGTTCAGATTAAGATCATCTTAATAAACAAAAAATTTGTCCATATAAGAACTTAATTTCCGATCGAACATTCTCATAACGGATATATGATATTGGAACAGAAAGATGGTCCGTTCCTCAGTTTCACGAACATAGCTTTAAAGCTGAGGGACTAGTTTGCATTGAAACAGACACACTAACTTTTCACTACACAGTGGGTCGGAGTTGGCAAAACTATAATATACTTGACCGGGGCATAATAGCAATGTATAAAACATCTAAGCGGAAAGTAGCAGTTGCCAAAGAATCTTCTGTAATTCCTTATATACTTACAAGCACAAGAAATTTACACATAGAACGGACTATTTATCTGACAGCTATTGTCCTCACGCTACCACAAATGTGAAGAAATGTAAAGCTCAAATAGAAAACTCTTAAATTAAACATAATATTAATGCCAACGTTCACTGCAGTCATCATGGTGGCTATCAGACGCACGACCAGACACAGCAGGTCGATCCATATGCTCAGAGCGGCTACAGTGCTTCGGCAACTACTCAGCAAGGCTACAATGGCTATGGTCAGAGCAGCGGCTATACAGCACACACAACCCAGTCGACCACACCAGCCAGCAGTAGCTATGCGTCGCATCATGGTACCGAATACGATCAGAGTCAATATCAGGGTTACAAGTAAGTTACAGTTTAACAGTTAGTTACTATACTATAGCTTGGAAAAGGGGGTTGCTAAAATTAACCATTTTTATTAACAGCTCCACGGGATATGCCACCCAGCCGGACACGCGCTATCAGCCATATAGCCAAGACTATAGCCAGCAGTATGGCTCGGCTGCCGTTGATTACAATTCAGCTGGCCAGGCGGATTACAGTCAGCAGAGCGCTGGTTACGATGAACGCGCCTATGCCGGTTATGGTAAGTGAATGATGGAAATATTATTTTTTAATTTTGCATATGCATCATCATCAAAATTTGCGACCTTCCACTGCCCAATAGATTCGCAGGCATATTCGCAGAATTATTCAAATGCAGCTGCCTATTACTAAACTAGAGTCTGCCGCATCCCTCGAATGGCGATACCCATCAGTGAAGAACGCTGCGCGTGCTCCAACACGTATGCCAAAAACCAAAACAAGGGATTAGGGCTAACGAGCATAACCATATGAATGTTTAATGCAAAAATTTGCTTGCTATATAAATTAATACGTACACGTAGACACACATACCCACAAACATTGAAAACACACACACAATTAGTCTTAAGCATAAAGTTCTCTTTTCCTAGCGTTTAAGTTGAAACGTGTTGCTACGTCTTGCTTTTCATCTCCCTATCTATCCTATCCAATTTTCCGAAACCTTTGTGTTTGTTTGTCTTTGCAATACCCTATCACTGTGACTGGCAAGAAGATTGTATCGCCTGTTGTTAAATGTTTTGTTAGTGGACAAATGGAGCCTTGCATCGCTTTAAGTGCTCCCGCCAATAAATCGGATTATGTATATTTCTTTATATTTTACAAATATTTTTCAATTTATCTACTTGATGAATGCGATCCAAAAGTAAATCAATATTGTGAATCATGTCATATTGTATACAACAATTGCAATGTGTAAATTTTAGTTTTAAATCAATCTGCTATTAGGCAAAACATCTCTTTACAAATTGAAACTTTTGTTTATTTCTAATTTTTTTAATATATCTTAAATAACTGAAAAAATTAACTAAGATTTCCCAAATATTATTTGTTTCTTAAATCTACTGACGTGAAAAAGAACGCAATTATAATTTCTTTTCCTAATAATAGCAACAATTTAAGCTACAAAATCGTAATTATGTAACTTTTATTCATTAAGCTGAGCAAAACAAAAGGAAAAAAAAAACAAAGAAATACACAACAATTTATTAGCAAAACAAAGCAAAAATCTTAAAATTTATCAAAGTCAATAAAATAATGTTCAAAAATGTGTGTAATGCATTAAACTTATTTAAACTTAAAGATTATTATTTCAAATGTTTTGTTTAACCAAATATATAGTACAAATTCAACTAATTAAGCCAATCAAAATAAGTGCAACAACACAAATTACAAAAAGATATTACAAATGTTTTTTATCAAGAAGCAGCAAACTACATACTCTAACAATTCAAGCCACAATCATATTGAAGTAACAGCCCAAACCATAATGTGCAATATATCAAAATGCCAAAAAATTGAAAGCATTAAAAAAAGAATCAAAACAAAATGAATCCGAAGAACAAACAAGAATCTGTCGCATTCAAAACGATCTTAAATGTTTATTGATACAAATTTTTAAATAGACACACATATCTTCGCGTAAAAAATTTAAACTGATGATTAAAGAAAAAACAAACTTAAGCAAGACGAGTGTCTAAAGAACATACAAATGTTCCAAGAGAAGCTTAACTAAAATGTTCAAAGGCACTTTCAAAAGAAAAAGAAAACAAAAAAACAAAAAAAGAATATTAAAAAAGAAATACACACATGTTTGGTAAGTTAAGTTGCAAGCCGCTGAAAAGCTAAAAACCAATAATAACTATTATATATCTCAAACTAAATGGTAACTCAACATTTAAATTCTTAAAATTTAAAAAAAAAGCTTTAAATAATACAGATTGTATTCTTATACAATACAAAACAAACTCCATCCATTGTCCGGGGTTCTTTAAGATTACTCTACATCTGTCCTTTTCTGAGAGTTACTAATGTACAGACCTATTTATAGAAACTGTTGAGTTTTACTACGTTAAATGCGGCCTCTTGTCGCATTTCTATGAAATTTATGTAGCATTTAGTTTTCTTTTTACAGGAATGAGAAAACTAAATTAACAAAATCAAAGGCGTTTTTAAACGTTCTAGAAGTGTGAAGGAAATCTACTGAAAGGATTATAAAAAAAGGTGAAAATATATATAAAAAAAAAAAAATAATAATTAATTAAATAACAAAAAACAAAAAAAAAACGAAATAATTTGATAAACTTTGTTTATATTATTGCACTTTTATGTTATTTACACTTTTGTTTTTGTGAAAACAAATTTTATTTGTTTATAATTTATAAATTACAAAAAAAATTTTTAATGTGGCATCAAAGGCTGAAAAATAGATAGTTCAAAACGGTGATATATAAAATTTAAAAAGACTGATAAAACCAAAATGCCATTTCGAAACTATAAAAGTAAGGCTTTTGTATACAAACATATACATATACATTTTTTTTATTTTCCCAATGCCTACAAATAAGATAAAAATATCTTGAGTTACAATCAATATTAAAAGTAAACGAAAAAATATATAAAGTATCATAAATTAACAGTAAAGAAAACTTAAAATATTCTAAATGAAGTTGAAGAAAATTTTTTTGCTCTAAGCAAACGAGAAAAAAAAGAAGAATAATACTCCAGGTACTTATAACATTTATTTCGCTTTTCCATATATATATATATATAAATAATTCTTACGCCTACAACTGAATTTGTTGGTCTCGTTTGTGCAATCTAAGCAAATACGCATTGAACAAGTATACTGAAAATGATCAGTTAAAACTAATGAATTAAAGTACAATGAAATCAAAGTACAAATACCTAAGAATAAATAACTCAAGCCAAAAAATCTGCTAACTAAATCGTTTGTTAAGATTTTTTAAATTATAGAATTAAAAGAAAAAGAATTTTACCAAGAATATTTATTTCACCATTTAATGTGGAATGCTTTATTTACGTTTTGCTCTATTGTTTATTTAACTTTTGTTTAATTAAATAATTTACTTAATAAAAGCGTGCAATGCAAAGAAAACAACGCAAGTGATCTAAAATTTACAAACAATGCTATAATATGCAGAATTTTTAATACATTTTTATTACAGCAAACAAATAAAAAGCTGAAACTGAACTATCGCTTAAAATCCATTGGAGCGATTTTACTACTTACAAATAACAACGCTTTAAATTATTGTGCACATTGTTGATCTACGGAACCATCAAAATCGACTTGTGAAATTTTAAAAATATAAATTATTTTTGATGCAAATGCAACTTTCGTTGACTTATGTTAAACCAAAGTCGACACAAATATGAATTTAATGTTTTATAATGTTGATATTTTATGTGTTATTAGGAACAACAGTGATTGACAGTTGCCAACTTTAATAATCTGAAAATTATTAATTGCTAGAAATTTTTTAGTGATTTTTCAATCGTTGTCGAGTTACCTTATTTTTTTTTTTTTGTTCTAATTGTTAACATTTCTTGTATAAATATGCCTGAAAAAAAATGTGGGTGCGAAACTGCAATAAAAAAATATATTTTTTTGTGGAACTATCCATAGACTTTTATTCGGTAATTTAAGAAAATAAAATATAATTTGGATATTGAGATTGTAATTGTCAAGTAAACGGTAATCGAAGTTACGGCCTATCCCAATTACAAAATTTTACGTGAAAATATTATCTACCCATTATAAGTAGGCTTTGGAATAATGCTGAATGAAAAGTATTTAAATTTGGAAAGGGTGGAACTACCTTAATACAAATCTTAAATTTTAGCAGACTGAAATTTAGAATTCCTGACATTATAATGGCTGTCTGATTAAGAAATAATTAAAGATTTTGGCAATAATGCCAAAAAAAAAATATCCCTTTCGAACAGGATAATAGTTGCCCTTATAGTAAATCAATGACCTATTACCCGAGCCGAGTTGACAACAAAATGATACTGCATTTTCAAGTCTTATTTGTATCTCTAAAATCCCAAATATGATCCGCAATAAAAAATTCTGGTTACAATTTCTCACAGGAATCAATTCCATTAAAAAAATATTGAAAAATAAACTTTTGATTGCATTTTTTCACGCATTGAGTTTGAGAAGAAAAAGAGACTTTATTTAAAAATTAATGCAGTTAAGATTTACATTTTCAAACGTCATAACAATTTAATTATATATAGGTTATTTTTGCAAGTGCTTTGTGTAAGGGAAATATGTACTGTTAATTATTATTGAATATTATGTGGTATAAACATTTTTTTTTTTATTATTGAATAATAAAGTGTTCTAAATCAAAATATAAATAAAGAGATCAACATGTACAATACGTTCTTCGGGGGTCCTTGAGTATGTACGTGTATATATGTATATACAAATATAATATATTAACGAGTAAGTATACATTAAATTGTTTGATTTATTAATGAACTAGAGAGCTTCCAAGTTGATTATTTTAAATGTTTAACGCCAATGTGCCGAGAATACATTATGCATATAGGGAGAAGACGCCATTTGTGTTGAGTTTTCAGCTAAAAAAAAAACCTATCGATCGTTATCCAGGGTCGTATCGTAGCATCGTTGGAGAATGATTTAAGAAGGTTATACGGCAAGGTCTTTAACGACGTTTGCCAAAGCGCAGGAATACATGATCGACATCTGTGCGTTTATTATAGTTTTTTAGCAAATCATCGGAATTCGCAACAAGAGCTGTAAATTAAAAAATTGCACACTTTTGTTATGAATTCTGTGGGTTACTCAATAATGCTTACCAGACGCTTCATTGTTGATGTAGGATTTGAGTGCAGAATTCAATTGATCGGAATTCTCCAGGGCCATGCAAACCTTTTTGATATGTTCAGGCATCTCCTCGAAAATGCCGGGCTGGCATAGTGGTGCCTGTGAGGCTGCTTCTGCACTCTGCACACACACAGCCAACAGGACAATGGCTAGGCAGCAAATCGCAAAGCTCTGAGCGTGAGACATACTGCAAGTACAAAACATCAGATGATTAAAATTTATATACCCTCAACCTATTTAAAATCGGTTCAAAGGGTATGCATGTTTAGAAATATATTTGTATTTATATTCTTGATCAGCATTGCGCTTCGGTAAATACACATAGTTGGGCTAAAAAGTAAAAAGTTCAGTTTTAGGGTAACTCCTAGTCGGGCGTATCCGACTAGTGCACTGTCGTTTTAATTTGGAGAAAACACGATTAGCAAGCGGATTAAGTTAACAGAAGCATCAGAGACGAGCAGCTCAGGCCGAGTGCTCAACTAATTTTGATTAACTTGTAATAATCTGCATGCTACGTGCCTGATTATCGTTGCGCTCTGCTGTTGCCAGGACAATGCCATATTGTGATTGAAAGAAGTTCTGCTTGCAGCCAGCGGCAACGTATTAAATTTCCCTGCTAACCTTGATGACAGCAGCCAGTAAAAGACGGCTCTAATGTTCGCTAACGTGTTTACGAATCAGACAATTTGTTTCTATTAAGCTCCAGGCAGAGTAGGCAACGGCAATGGCAACCTGTCCCCAGCCTGATGATGATGTATACTTATAAAAAAAAAAAGTCGAATGCACTCGTACGGCCCGGCCCGTTTTACGAATGATGGCTGCCGCAATCAGTGGCAAGTTAGTTGGCCATGCATATGTGTATCTGTGTATTTGTCTCTCTTCCCTTGTGTGTCAACGCCAAACAATGCTGTATTCAAGCCTCTAATGTCATGTACGTGTTGGGCGTGCATCTGCGTAGATTAGAACCCGTTGCAACGTTTTTTATACATCAATTGAAAGACGGAAGCAAAATGCCAGAAAATACTTTATACCAAATGCAAACTCTTTCGCGTTTAACCGAAGGCAGCGCAAATGAAAAAAGCTTCGATCTAATTTTTTACTGGAGAACTTTGGGTTTGATAACGAAAAATAACATAAAATAAAAAAAATATATAAAAGATATGGAGTTACGAAAATTCTATCAAGAAATATATAATATATATTCTTGATCAAAATTATGATCAAGCTGATTCGATATGACAATATTCTTCTCAGAACGACGATTAATATCGTCGTAAAACTTAATGAATATCAGACTTTTATGTTTTAAGAATAACGTGCCCAGAAAATAATAAGCTACCTGTTAAAAAAAAAAAATATGAAAAACTTAAGTAAAACTCGTAATATCTTGTTGATAAAATACCAACTACTAACGCTTTAAATTTGAATTGCATAAAAATGTTATATATTAGGGGATGTATACTATAAAAGGTAAAAGGTAAGGTTGCCATATAAATGCTTTATAAGTATCTGACACTGTATAAATGCATCGACTGTAGGTATTGTCTCTAGAATCTAACTAGAGACACCAAATTTGATTTATAAAAAATATATAGCACTGGTGATTTGGATATGATTGTCACTTAAGTGCATTCCTTAAAACTAAGAAATGTGCACATGTCCATGTCCTATAAAACAAAGATTCGACAATAAACACTGAAGTTATTTAAGAATAAATTTTTTAAAAAATACAACTAACTAGATTTTATTAGGTTTTGCACCAAATGAATTTGAATTTTTTATGCAAATATTCAGAACTGTAATTTTTACATTAACTTTTGCACTCTTATTAATTATAATATTTGTTCAATGTACATTTTGTTTACCTGTTGTCAATTTTGTTTAAGATCACTTAGAATGTTCAAAAACTTGCAAAACTGGCTGCGGCTTTGCTGTAGATGACTTCACTGTCTGATAGAATTGAACTTGTTGAACGCAGGCACTCGAATGATGGTCTGCCTTGACAGGACATCAGCTTTTATTTACTTCCGCTGAGCACGCACACAGACCAAATGCAAGCCTGCCATTGGTCCAACAGACACACACACACACACACACACATGACAAAGGACCACATGTTGAGCTTAAACAGACAGATACAGGAGTACGCCGGTTGGTGGGCGTGCACAAATATTACGCATACGTCACCGAGCACCGAGCGAACGTTGATTATGTGTGCTTTGGTAACTTTTAGACAAAAGCAAGTAAAATATTGTAATACAAACAGAAGCGATGAATTCCTCAATATGTTGATCTATTATATAAGTTTTATCAGCTTTTAATTATGTTATAAAAGCGCATTTTTATGAGCGTCGCCCACTTAAAGGTAGTTATGTGCGTTAATATTGCACTTACGAGCCATTATACTTGATAGACTTTTGTTAAAGCATCTTTCGTTCGCCTTAAATCGAATGCCAGATAAGTTGACACACACCTGCTGCAGTTAACTTGCAAACACTTACGTTTGTACGTAAGGTAGGTAAAGTAATCTTCAGTTTATGAGCTAGGGATTTGCAGACGAAACGTTGCAATTAATTTGCCATGGCGCGTGATTGGCATTCAAACTATTGGACTCTGACTTTTTACATATTGAGAAGACAATGGGGGCGAAAGTATAGGAAAACAAAATGCTTAACTTAGTATCAATGCTACATAAGCAAATCAAATTTGTCACATTTGATTCTATTTCTAATAATTCAACTTTAGCGGATGCACATTAACAGTGCTTTTGCCTTTAGAATATCAGGGCAGAATTATTTTTTACGATAATATTATTTATATAATAATGTTATTCTATTATTTTATCTGCCATTAGCCCGGCTTATATAGCGACGGCCACTTGGCCCGAAGTCTCGGTGCAATTTTTTAATTAACACAGAAATCGCGATTTATGTGCCAATTCCGATTCCAAGTATTAACTATTGAATACTTTCTGAGCACAGATGAGTTCACATATTGTTGCTAGCTTTTTTTTTAGCATTAAATTCCGGCACATTTTTAAAGCGCCAATTGACTAAATTGTTACGAAACCGAATTGAACAAAAGAATTAAAAGCTCTGTATGCAATGTAACAACTAAACAACAGGTGGAGAAAAGTTTAACTGATTTTGGCTAATCTGATAAGCAGATACATTCAAGTATTGGCCGAATTTAGGAATTATTGATAGAGTAAGGCAAGAGTGCTTACGGCTTGATTTTTGTGATTTTTCAGATACCATGCTTCCTACACATGAGTAAAGTCTGATTACCATCGCACAGCGGTTGCATATAGCTCTATTGGAACGACGGTAAAAATGTTCCTCGACGATTTCTACTAATACCGACTGATAACAAATCCCATCCAAGAGCACACTTCGACAGAGATTTCGAAATCTTATCCATGTAAATGTACTCCACTGTGAAGTGCCGCAGTGTATTCACGTCCGCAAGAATGTTCTCACAGTGTATTCACATGCGCAGCCCACTAATTGGGTTACACTTAACACATTTGCGGTCTTTGATGTTGAGTGCAGAAATCAGGGCAGGCAGCATAGTGCTCGCCATATGTGGACATAATGCAGCATAGGCATGGAATGGAATGGTAATGGAAGTGGGCATGGGACTGGGTGCGATACACGCGCTGTCACCCTCCACTATTCATGGGCAATGATAGCAAACAATGTCGCACAAAATTTGCACAAAATTTGAATAAACTGATTGAGTTTTAGTTGCGCGCATATTATACGAATAGTTCGAACGGTTGGAGGGCATAGTTCGCTACCACTGGGCATTAACATTTAAATTATTTTCGCAATTACACATATGGATGTGAGTGTGTGTGTGTGTAGAATTTGAAGATGTACTTTCAACTAAATTTCAAATATTCTTGACATTTATTATCATCATTCGTGTTCTTTGAACGACTCTAGTTTTTACCAGCTCCCCATGTTTGAAACTATTTTTGCAGTTTTAAAATAATTTTAAAAACGATACTTTATTTGATTCGTAGAACATTTAAACTAACTACAATATATTGCACAAAAACACCAGCGGATGAGTCGACTGTGGCCAGATCAGTCCAGCAGCTTGGCCACTATGGGATCGGGCGCAGACATCGCATAGCCCAGATGCTGCAGGGCGCGCCGTATCTCGCTGAATACGCTGGCATCGTCGATGGTCGCCGGCAAGATGACCCGCTCATTGCGGGCAAAGTCAGCCATGGCCTTACGCATGGTTTTACCGGAGCGCGTGCGTGGCAAGTTATTGACCGAGGTGATAAGGCGAAAGGCTGCAATTGGACCCACAACATCGCGTATGAGTTTGATTATCTCCGTGGACAATTTGGCATCTGTTTTCTTGCAGCCATCGACGGGAATGTATAGACAGAGTGGTACTTGTCCCTTAGTTGGCTCCGGCACACCAAATACAGCCACATCGACAACGTCAGGATGCCGAAGCACAGCATCCTCAAGACTGGAGGTCGACAGACGATGGCCGGCCACATTAATGACATCGTCATCGCGTGCCGTGACAAAAATGTAGCCGCGCTCGTCTTTGTAGCCGGCGTCCATGGTGTCGTAGTAGCCCTGCAATTAACATACAAGAAATTATAAAATCTCTATAATCAAGTAGCATGGCCTACCGGAAACTTTTGGAAGTATAGCTTGCGATAGAGCTCATCGTTTCTATACAGAGTGGCCATATTGCCAGGAGGCAGCGGCAGCTTTAAAACAATGCGACCCAGTTCAGAAGGAAGAGCCTCAGTGCCATCCTTCTTTAGTACCTTAACTGTTTAGATGCATAGTTATAAGAGTGGTTAACAGACTTTAGGTTTAACGAGTTATCAAGTAAATACTTACTTTCGTAGCCCACAAGGGGCAGGCCGGTAGAATACATGGGTGGATTGAGATTATGTTTGAACCCCAAACATGTAGCCGTTACAGCTGAACCAGTTTCCGTCTGCCACCAATGATTCAGCACCGGCACCTTGAATGTTTTCTCTATCCAGGCCTTTGTCTCGTAGTCGCAATGCTCGCCAGCTATGAAAATGGCACGCAGGGATTTCATGCAGTATTGCCGCCCATAGCTAATTTCCGGATCGGCACGTCGTATCACACGAAACGAGGTCGGCACTGAGAAGATGCCGCATACCTTGTGCTGGTCAATAATTCTAAAAGCAAAAGTAAGTAACAGCAATTTCTCCTAAAAACTACCGAGGACCAAAAGGAAGCATCGTGTAAGAGGAAGCTTCCTCCTTTTAATACTTACCTAAAGTACTGTCCCGGATCCGGTGTGCGATCTGGCTTGCCTTCGTACATGACGCTTGTGGCGCCCAGACAAAGCGGACCGTAGCATATATAAGAGTGTCCCACAACCCAGCCCATGTCAGAGGCAGCCCACCATGTATCGCCAGGCTGAATGCCATAAATCATTTTCAGCGTGTACATCAGTGCCACCAGATGACCACCAATTGTGCGCAGCACACCCTTCGGCTTGTCCGTGGTGCCGGACGTGTAAAGTATATAAAGTGGATCATTGGCTTCGATGGGCACACAGGCCACCGGTTGACTAGCTTTGCCCATGTCCAACACCGTTGACCAAAGTATGTCGGCTTTATCATCCAGAATATCTAAGGCAACCTGTTCGCGCATAAATATGATGTTGGGTTGCGGTGGCTTCCAGCGCGACATATTTATGGCCGAGTGCAGTATGTCCAGATAGGGAACCACCTTACCTGGCTCCACGCCCGCATTAGCGGCGATCACCAGTTTCGGCTCAACGTGCTCAATGCGCGAGCAGAGCTCCCGTGCAGCAAATCCGCCAAATACCACCGAATGTATGGCGCCCAGTCGAACAATAGCCAGCATGGCTACGATGGTCTCGGGTATTAGCGGCATATAGATCACCACTCGATCGCCCTTGGTCACGCCCATTTTGGCCAGTCCACCTGCCAGCAGGACAACCTGATCGTATAGCTCCTGGTAAGTGACTTTGCGCACCGTTTCCGTCAGCGGACTGTCATGGATGAGCGCCACCTTGTCCCCCCTGCCGGCCAGTATGTGTCTATCTATGGCATTGTAGCAGGCATTCAAATAGCCGCCCACATACCATTTGGTAAATGGTTGATTGCTGTTATCCAGCACCTGCTGCCATGGCCTGTCCCAGTCCAGCAAATGTCCCAGCTCCTCCCAAAAAGCGACTGGATTTTGCACAGACTTGCGGTACAGCTCCAAGTAGAATGGACTGTGCGCATCAACTGGCATTCCATATATAGACGAAGCAGCACCTTGATATGAAGAGCATTAAGTCGATTAGTAGTTTTCGAGTTCAACGCACTGTCTTATGGGATGTACAGTTGGGTGGCTCATTAAATGCTGCATAAATTTGGGCGCTCGATAAAGACTTAAATCGGCCAAAGCAAAACTAATTTACACTTTCACAATATACGATATTGGATAATTAAATTGTATATATATTCGAACGACTACGTCGCGGTCACTTGTCGCACATTGCCTATGTATGGTATATATCGGTTGTGCCAGACAGAACAGCATAATCAGAGCGCCATTGATATACGATAATAATAAGAGTTCTGCCAGTTTTACCATTCCAAAGCGTACTTAATAATTTTGATGGTTTATATAAGCGTTTGCGTCAACGAAGATTCGATTGAAAATACTTATATATTTTTTTTTATTTTTGTATATAGTATAAATATACGCATATGTATTTACAGTCAGAATATTGGTTAAAACATAGATAGTTAATTCTTTGGTTTTTTTTTCCATATTTTAGTACAATGAAGGTTAGTTCTTGAAACTTACTGCCTTCAATGTTGGTTTTATTCACTGCATCGGTAACCAGCTCCATTGGTTCGTACGTTTTTCACAAATGCGTCAATTGAACAATGAGTTTATTGGGTATATATTAATGTACATGTATATGTAGATCCTCTATAGGCTATATAGGAAATTACAGCTCCAGCTTAGACACGACCGTCGCCTTAAAGTCGAAACGTTGCAATGATATTTAATTGCTCGCACAGTAAGTGAAATCCAGAACTCAAAAACATTGGATCAAAGGTTTAACGAAACACTCTCACTACATGAGCATTTTAAAGTGTTTTCGACTTAAGTAATACTCTCACCACAATTAAAAAGCCATGACAACAATGTTTTTATAATGAGCGAATAGAGAAACATTCGACTTTTACATATATAGCCAAACTAACAAATCGAATTAAACTATGAACGCATTTAAATAATGTATGGAATTAGCTTTAAGTAAAATTCAATAAAAAACTAATAGTGAAGAATTGAAAATGACCAAAGTTAAAATCAAGTATACTACATACGTTTCTTTGTGAACTTTGAAAAATCAATTCGATTTCATCTTTTATATCCACAAAAGAGCATTTCGAAATTTAACTTTTAATTGATCAGAACGTTCTGCAATCGGTTCTCTGCAATTGTTTAACAACTGAAGCTTTTACATAAGGTTAATATACCTTGGATGATGACGTTGCACCATGTCTTCCGACATACTCTAATATTTTCAGTTAGAGTGAAGTACGTAAATAAAATTAAAATATTATCATGTATGAAGGTAACTGAATATTCTTTACTTTATTTCGCATTAAACTAGGGTTTAATTAAATAGTAGAAAATATTTGTAACAAAATATTCGTTCGTCTATTTCTTTTTTTTGTCCTTCTTGGATTTTTTGGCCGGAGGCTGTGCAGTTGCTGCTGTACTGGCTTCCGGTGCTGTCTCTACACTAAAACCCTTAATGTATGGCTTCACCAGTTTGAATATCAGCTTTTCATGCTGCACGTTGCTCGAGTCCAGACTCAGCCTTACCGTGACAGGATCAAAGGAATGGAAAATCACATTGCCACATCTTTGCGTATGGTCCTCCTCATTGAATGTGAATATTACTTCGCTTTTGGTGCGCTCCAGACCGTCTTTGCCATCCTTGTCGCCTTTCAGATACAATGTGCCCTCCAGTCCGTACTTGGGTATGAGCACCTGCAAGGCATTCTTGCGCACAAACAAAACATAGCTGAAAGAAAGAATGCATTAGCAAATAAGATAAATCTGACCTATTTTTGTAAATATACCCCTCCTCTTCTTCCTCTTTGCCTCGAAAGAATAGATGTGTGTTAAGTGCGACAGATGCGCGACCAGCATATTGCGCCATTTTATGGCGATAATTTAAATTGTTGCACAGCTCCTCATTGGATTTGCGCTCCAGCAGCTGGGCATAGGTGCTATCGGCCCCAATGGAGGCTGCCAGCAGGCGATGTACCATAATATCCGAATACCGGCGAATGGGCGAGGTGAAGTGCGTGTAAATATCGGCAGCCAGACCATAATGGAAAAACTCTTCTTTTTGCAGGCTACCGCTGATAAAGTACACCGCCTGCATCATGCAGCGCGTGGTTAGAATACGTATCATTGTATTGAAGTAAGGATTATCGGCTTTAACGCATTTATCCAGTGAATGCGCTAGCTCCAAACCAGTATTTATGGCCACCTCGAAGCCCTGATATCGTGCAGCCTTAACCAGCGGATCGAAGTTAGTCGGCGGTGGCTTCGGGTGACGGCGTAGCACAGCGCACTCTGTGAATTCCGCCGCAATGTGCTGCGCCACGGTTATATTGGCCAGCAACATGAATTCCTCCACCATTGAGTTGGTATCTCGCATCTGCTTGGCCTCCACCTCAAGCGGCTCATGCGTTTCACTATCCACTTGAAAACGTATCTCCGGTGAGGCCAACACCAATGCGCTTAAATGAATCATTATTACATGAGTACGAAGAGGCGGTCACGTTATACTTACCCATTGTCCATACGCCGCTTCTTGAGTATCTTGGCGAGACGATTAAGATGCCGCAGCGATTTGGCGATTTCGCCAGTCTCTGTGGAATCATCAATAAGAGCCTGGGCCTCCTCATAGGTCATAGCCCGCTTAGACTTGATGACGCTCTTGTGAAAGCGTTTGGACAAAACATTCGCTTGATTATCCACTTCCCAAACACAGGAGAAGGCAAATCGTTCCACGCCACCAACCAGCGAACAAAGATTGGAGCTTAGAAGCTCCGGCACCATATCAATGCGTTTACCAACCAAATAGACAGTAGTGCCTCGCGCGGCAGCTTCTTTGTCCAATGCATTGCCTGGCCTTATGAAATGACTAACATCGGCAATGTGAACTCCCACTTCTAAATTTCCGTTCGGCAGCTCGCGGCAATGAAGTGCATCGTCAATGTCCGTGCAACCGGGTGGATCTACAGAGCAAATATACAAATCGCGCAAGTCCACCCGCTTGGCATAATCCTCCTCTGTAATGGTCCACGGCATTTTCGGTAAAAAACTGAGCACTTCTTCGGAAAACTTGCAGTGCGGCACATCGTGTTCCAGCAATATCACCTCGTTCTCCGTGGCCATGTTCCCCAGTGGGCCTAGCGATCGCACGAAATGCCCATGCGGATAGCGTGAGTTCCTCGGCCAGCTATCAATGGTCACAATTATGCGTTGGTTTTGCAGCTTGGCTGCCTGGCGCGTTTCGATGCGTATGCGCGGAATCTTGCGATCGGCGGGCACAAAAATATGGCGTGTAGTGTCCTCAATCAGACTGGGCTGTAAAATGCCGCAATACTGACGCCACTTGCGACGCACAATGCCCACAATGCGACCGGTGGGTGTGCGCTCTGCAGCTGGTGCGGTTTGCACTTGTTGAAGCATTTCCTTCTCCTCTTCAACCCGCTCCTCGCTGGGCACATCATCGGCATACACATTTTTCTCCTCCAACACAATCTCACTAGGCGCTGACCATTCGGACTCAGGCAACAGTTCAACGGCAACAATATCGCCGTCTACGGCGCGGTTAAGCGACTCGCGGCCTTGTATTAAAATCTGTGAAATATAGTAAAGTAATAGTTTAGTCCAGGAATTCCATTTTTTAACTGTAATGTTATTGATTTTTAGCTTTGGAATGATAGTCGCATTCTTCAACACAATGTCATTCCACTAAGCACGTAGGATTGAGAACGAAAAACTTACGCCCTTTTCATAGCTCTCCACATTGACATTGCCCTCGAGATAGTTCTCCCTAGATGCCTGGAAGGAGCCTTGCAGTAATTTTTTGTATCGCAAACCCTCAAGCAGCTCCTTCATGCTCAAATGCGGTGGATATTGGGGCAGCGCTTGTTTCTCATTTTCAAAGGTTTTCTGGGACAACTTGTCGACCAGCAATGGAAAGTCTTCAAGCGACTTAACATAGTCTGCCGCACTAGCTACCAAAATATCCTCGGCCTCGGCCTTGGCGCGATTACCAGCATCGTCAGTGAGCAGCACTACACGTGTAGCTGTGCGTCCGCTACTCTGAAAGGTCTTGGATGCCTGAGAGGTATGCAGATGGGTATCGTACCATTTGGCAGCCAAGCGTATGGCGCGGTCATTACGATCATTGGCGCTCTCATCTGGCTCGCGATCGGCATAGGTGTCCCTGGAAAGTGTAAATTGGAATCATTTTGGCTAAGTACCCAATCGACGGGGCTTACTTATGATGCTCATTGACAAACACATAAAAATTCCGCGTGCGATCGTGAATAATCTCATTGAGACGCTTATAGATGGATGAGCTCTTGTGTTTCACTTCGTTCAGTACCGTTGTGAGCACGATAACATTGTGGAGCACATTCTCCTCAAGCACATCTATTTGATCCAGAACCACGTTGGTATCCAAAACAATGTAGTGAGGAAATTTGAAAATGCTGCTCTTGATGTCATGCTCCGACGTCAATTGGTAGACCTCGTTTTGAAAGCAATATTGGCAAAGATCTGAGCCGCAACCAATGTCATCACGTAGATAATGCTCTCGTACAATTTTTAATATATTACCGCGTTTTGTTTTCCGCGTAAATTCCCGTAAAGTTTGCATTTTTGTAACAAAATAAAATTAACGCAATTCACATGCGTGCCGGAATAAAGGGACACATACACGTTCAAGCAGCTGTGTCGATACTAATGTGGACGCCATATGCCGCATATCAAATAAGCAACGGCATATTCTTGTTAAAGATTAAATAATTAGAGAAAAAGTTTGTTGTTGTTGCAGTTTTTAAACCTCTTTAAATTTTTAATTCAAAATCGTGTTTAATAAATATTTATCATCATACTGTTTTCTACACATGTTGCGCCTTTTATGTTTATCAGCACTTAACCATCGAACGTTGTACAGCACTACTTTAGCATTTGTATTTAAAGTGTCCAGCACGTGTACAGGGCACGTTGCGGTGTTTCTTGTTTAAATTTTTAACGCTTTAATATTATTTGCAATGGTTTCAAATGAAAAAAGCTTTCCGCGCGGCGGAATAGCAAATTTACAAGCAAATGCCGAAAACAGCCCATCGAATATCGTAAGTACAAACCGAAAAGGGGTATCTTAGTTCTAAATTCAGAGGTTTGCGGCTTGCAGGTTTTTGGTGCCTCACAGCGAAAGATAAAGAAAGGTCCAAAGCCAAAGGAAAAGCAAATAGATGGTGAGCACAGTGACCAACTGCAAGCGTTCTCTGCGGAAACGCTCACATATGACACACTTCGGGACCGAATGCTGGTGATGGGAGTTGTAAAAGCGGCGGACGCCACCTCACTACAAATAGCATTGCCCGGTCGCATGACAGCTCGCGCTTTAGTGGCCGATATATCCGATGCATATGCACGCGTGGCTCAATCCTACATGGCCGGCGATGGCAGTGAATATCATGATCTGACTGTGCTCTTCAGCGTGGGACAGATTGTCTATGGGCGCGCCATAAAAACAGAGATACCAGAAAGGAATCGCATGTCACTGTTACTCTCACTTAAGCCGGCAGAAGTGAACAGTAGCTTGCACCACGCCAGCATCAAGAAGGGATTCATCTTCACAGGTGCCATTGAGGAAATCCAGGAGCACGGCTGTGTGATCGAAACCGGCATTGAGGGGCTGCAGGCATTTGTTCCCATCGCAGACGCGGCACAACAGCATCACATTGGTCAGTTGATCTTCCTGAAAGTCAAGCAAATCCAGCACAGTTCCGCAAAGAGTACCTGCCAGTGTGTGCGCTTGGATCAGGACAAATTGAAAATTAAAAGCCAGAACGAAACCAACCTCGACTACATACTGCCTGGTAGCATTGTAAAGTTTAAGGTAATAAAACATCTTAAAAATGGACTGGAGGGGAGCATTATGAACGAATCGTTTAGAGGCTACGTGAATGAGCATCATTTGGCAGAGGCACTGCACACGCCGCCGGACTACGAACTTAACGAGGAGTACCTGGCGCGGGTGCTCTACGTGATGCCCTTGACCAAGTTGGTATATTTGACCCTTAACTTGGACATTAACGTGACAACTGAAAAGACGGCAATGGAAGATGATGAGCAGCAGGAACTACTAAAGAAGGGCAGCATTGTGGAGAAAGCACGCGTGCTGCGCCATGGCACAGGCGGTATCGTACTGCTCCTCAACCACAAACATAAGGGTCTGATTTCGTATGGCTCCATTAAGTCGAACCATAAGGGAAACTACGACCAGGACGTGGTGTTGGCAAAATACAGCAGCAAGAGCAAGCATAAGGTACGTGTGCTTGGATACGATGTCATCGAGTCACTCTACTACTGCACCGACGATGCCAATATATTAAACGAGAAGTTGTACACACTGGAGGATCTTCAAGCGGGCGATATTGTTCAAGCTCGTATTGTGAAGCCTGAATCTAAAATTGGCGGCTACAATGTTAAAATTGGGAAAGTCAACGGGATCATTGAGCAGCTGCATCTGGCGCCAAATATGCGTTATGAGGTGGGTCAACGTCTGCGCTGCCGTGTATTGGACATTTGCCTGGACCGTAAAATTTGCTATTTAAGCAATCGGAACGAGTATCTTAACAAGAGCGTTAAACTGCTTACCTCGCTGCAATCGGCTCAGCCTGGTAGTCTCTTCACTGGCACCGTGGTCAAGTGTGAGTCCAGCTATGTTCTCGTCAAGTTCTGCAGCGGCATCAAGGGAGTGCTGCATAAACAGCGCCTGAATGAACTAATTGAGAGCACCTTTTTCGCCGGTCAAACTACAAAGTTTCGTATTGCTGGACGAAATAATGATCAGGTACTCTTAACACTGCCCGAGGAAAAGTTCCAGCTTGGCGAAATATGTCCCATTGAAGTGACAAATGCATTAGATGCTGGTCTAGAAATCAAAATTACCTATGCTAGCGATGAACAGGATGCATCAATGACAGGTGACGAGAACCCTACCGAGGAGTTTGTCGGTCTGATGCCAGTGCGTTTTCTATCAGACTATGTGGATCTACAGGATGCACAAAAACGCACTCATCCTGTCGGCACACACACCGAAGCCGCCTGCATCATGCAGAACATTTTTAGTTTACGCGATGTGCCCTATTTCAGTGAGAACCTTACCAAGGATTGGCACACAGTGCAAGTGGGCGATGTACTCCGCGCCCATGTTAAGCATGCCAGCGAGCAGGTGCTGGAGCTGCTGGTGCCCGTACGTAATTACAATAAACTGGTCAAGTTGCACGTAAAGATGCTCTGCCCACAAACCGCGCGCGAAGTGCCCATCATGCTGGTGCCGGATCAGCTTCTGTTCGTCAAAGTGCTCAGCAAGGAGTTAGAGACCAAAACGCTGACCGTGTCTGCCAAGCTTTCAGATGTGTGGAGTGGCCAGCTCACTGAGACAGCAAACCTGGTGGAGAGGTAAGAGGATAACACTGTTGAATTGCTTACATCCCTTGACTTAATTTAATCCTTACAGCTATCTAAACGAAGTATCACAGATTCGAAATAAATTAAAAATGCTAAATGCGCCCATTGCCAAGCATAGTATGGGCGACAAAGTTGATGTCATTTTCAAGGGCATTGATCCGACGACCAACAATTGGGTGTATCACTTGGACGGCTCCAAGAATATAACTGCACTGATAATTGCCAGCTTGGCAGGCACAGCGACGGCGCCCCAGGTGGGCAGCAAACAACAAGCCGTTATTTTGTGGATCGACTACGCCAACGATATGCTCCTCGTAAGCAATAAGAAGATGGATATTGAACACATCAGCAGCAGCCAAGAGCTGCCTCAAAATTTAATCGCCAAGTCGGGCATGAAGGCCAAAGTTTTGCTTAAATTAGACAGCATTGTGGTGTGCTCATTAAAAAAGGGTGCCAGCAATCCGTTGATATTTTGTCCGGTACGCCTGCATCCCAACGATGTTGATAGCTCCGCCAGTGCTTGTCTGCGCCAGGGCGATTTCTGTAACCTTGCATTTATACACGAAAAGCTGCCAATTGCTGTGCCAGAGACCGTCTGGAAGCTGTGGAAGGGCGTTAAACGTGCAGCCGCCGTTGATGCTGAAGAAGAAACTCCCGTTAAGTCGAAAAAAGTCAAGATAGAAGCTAAAATAGCATCCAAATCGAACGCACAGAAATTAAAAAAAGCTGAAATTAAGCCGTTAGATAATGGCAAGCAAAAGGGCGTACAGCTCTTCTTCGAGGATAAAATCCCTGCAAAGGCAAATGTGCTCAAATGCAATGCAGTAAATGATACTGCGACCAAGTTACGTCTGCCGGGCATCTCGAGCTTCTGGGAGACTGACCTCGGCGCATTAAATGGGAAGCGGCCAGAGGACACATCCAGCGACGAGGATGACAACAATGCAGCAGCCGAGGCAGAGGCGAATTCTAGCAAGAAAAAACGACTTAGTGCCAAGGAAAAGGCTAAGGCAGAAGTTAAGGAGGAACAGCGCTTGCGCGAGATCGAGGAACGCAATGCTGATCCCAATCAACGCCCAGAAACAATTGATCAGTTCGAACGTCTGGTACTAGCCGAGCCCAACAGCAGTAAGTCCTGGATCCAGTACATGTCCTTCCTCCTCTCAAATACAGAGGTGGATAAGGCACGAGAAATTGCTCGACGCGCCATTAAAACAATAGCATTTCGCGAGACCAAAGAACTGCGCAATATATGGACAGCACTAATCAACCTGGAGCTAAGCTACAATTCATCCAATTTTGACGATGTATTGAAGGAGGCACTCAGCCATAACGATCCGCTTGAAACCTACCTAAACCTCGTCGAAGTGCTCAAGTCACACAATCTTAGGGAACGTCTCGTCAGCACATTAAATCTAATAACGCGCAAGTTTAGAACGGAGCCGCAGGTTTGGCGTGTAACTGCCGATGCTTACTTCTGGCTGGGCATGGCGGATCGTGTGCAACCTACGCTGCAGCGTGCGCTGAGCGTTTTACCCAAAAATCAACGTAAGTACTGAACAGCAATTATAAATTTACCATTTATCCATTGAAAATGGAAAAGAGGGTGTATATTAATTTTGTGCACATATATAACGTATGGCAGGCATGTCTTGATCAGGACGATGAACTGAGTCGATCTTTAGACTCGTAATACAGTTATAATGTTATATTATACCTAGAAAGAACTAAATTGAATTTGGTCCTGTTTATCCGCAGACATCAATTGCATTGTGGCCTTTGCGAAACTGTATGCCCAGAACGATGATAATGCCATGGCGCAAACTTTGCTGGATGATATTGTCACCTCATATCCAAAGCGAATTGATATTTGGGTCCTTTACGTAGATATGTTAATCAAATCGGAACTGATTGAATCCGCAAGGTACGTAAATCAAATTGAATCCAATTGAAATCAAATTGAATCCAATTGAAATCAAATTGAATCCCTTCTTACTATTTTATTTAAAGAAATGTACTCGAACGTGCAGTTCTTCAAAAGTTGCAGCCGGACAAAATGCTTGTCATCTACAAAAAGTATCTGGACTTTGAGATGAAGCACGGTACGGAGGCAAATGCGGCACGGGTCAAACAGCTAGCCGAACAATATGTTCAGAGTCAAAATAAAACGCTTAAATAGTTTTGAAAACGAGGTTAATCCGCTTTTGATTGTATCTATCCGTACAGAGATAATTTAATTTGAGTAAATTGGAAAATATATAGAGTTACTGGATCATCGCCCTCACATTAACGACAATTAAAGTAGATCTGTTTTTGTTGATACTTTATTTTATAATCTATTTTAAATGAAGTGTGTGATCCTTGAATGCTACTTTTATTTAAATATATGTATATTATATATATATAGAAATACATACAGTTTTTTGCGGCAGCACCCAGAGGCGCAGCTACATGGAAATGTGTAGCGGCAAAGACTGGTAAGCGTGCCACATAAAATAAGAACTTAAATTCTTGAACAAAGCATGAATATTTTTTGGGATCTGTGTTATATATAGTGAATATGATTAAATGAGAACACAATTTGCTTAAGCCTATCCTGAAAAGGGCTTAGTAGTGGGTGTGGATGGCGGTACACAGGACACCTGACGTATTACAATGACAATGAATTACTCTTACACATTAATCAATAATAAGAAGCAAATGATAGAAAAATGTTATTTGCTCATACGACTATAATTAATTTATACATAAAACAGTCTTGAGCGCAGCGCAGCTGGGCGCCCAATTTCAATCCTTAAATATGCCACGCGCCTTTGCTGATATCTTGCGCACGCGTCCTCGGCTGCTGACGCTCACCAGTTGTTCATCACTTTCCGCCGTACTGCTGTTGCCATCCTCCGTGCGTTGCTGCTCCTCACGTTCTTGTGAGCTATTGCTGTTGTTAGTTGCCGTATGAACATCGCCGTTACGTAAGCGCTTACGCTGACTGTGCCCCTGATTTTGATCGTCCTCATCTGATTGCTCATTGTAGCGTGGACGTTTCTGATTGCGACCGCTGCGCTGATTGCTACGTAGCCGACCACGCGGAGCCTCATAATCATCATCATCGTCATCGTTAAGGGACTGATCAGAGGTGGCACGAAGCTGACGACGTTGGCGCTGTTCACGTCCCTGTGTTGCGGTCGCTGCCGATGAGGAAGAAGTTTTGGTTTTACGTGATGTGCGCCCATTGCTGGGCGATACGTAGCTGGTTAGGGGCTGATTGTCTTCAGAGTCTGTGGCAGTTGGTTCTTCATCATCATCGTCGTCGTTGCTGCCCTGAGAGCTGGAGCCGCCATCGGTGCCTTCGTCTGACGCAGCGGCCTCCTCTCCGTCAGGCAATTCCGCCGCTTCCTCGTCTTCCTCTTCGCCCTGCGAATGCTCCTGACTGTTACGAGAGCGCAATCGTCGCGTTGTTACATTGTTTGTTGTGGAGGTGGGACGTCTGTGATTAGACAATATGGACAGCAAACGAGAACTATTCAGCGGATCATTGGTTGTGTCCAATTCATCCGCATTGCGCTGATGACGTGATAATACGCGGCGAGGGGCACGCGAGGCCGCCGCTGACTCGCTGCCCAAATAGTTGTGATCGTGCGCAGCCATTGCTGGCTCCTGCTGATTTGAGCTGTTGGTAGTAGATGTAGCGTGCGAGCGCGTCATATGCATGCTACGTGGTACCGAAGGTAAACGGCGACGCAAAGTCAACGGATGAGGAGCTGATGTGCTAGTCTTTGCGGGTCCAGTGGCAGTTTCTATGAAAAGCAAAAAGTATTTCAACTTCAAAATTCATAAGGAAATTTGTTGTAATTTACTTTGCTGGTTATTAGCCAACGGCTCATTATCACTGTCATCATCATCGTCGCTTTCCGCGGCAGCAGTTACCACGGTATTGCGATTTGTGCGCAGCTGACGTGCTGATGTGGCTGCACCGGCCACATGACCTAAGGCAGCCCGGCTAGTCGACGGCATGTCGTCCTTAGTGGGCGTGGGTAGTATCTAGGTTAAAATTGTGTAGCATGTTATTGTTGTATATATTATAATCTTATATTTTCATTAACTCACCTCTTCAGCCTCTTCGCTTTCATCGTCCTCCTCCTCTTCGATATCACTGCCGCGTGCCCAATCCATGATCGCACGTTTTGCGCTCTGCCTTGTGGGTCGACCTACTGGTCCATGTGAATCTGTATCCGAATCAATAATGCGACCATTACGAACGGGCAGATGGTAGCTGTGATCATTTTCGGCAGCATTTTGTGATCGTCCGCCATTGGCGCGCGTATTTCGGGAGGGGCTCTCGAGGCTAGATCCGGCTGATACAGCAGCCGCACTAGTGCCCGGCCCATTTCCAGTAGCCGTCGCGCTCTTGTTTTTCGCCGGTCGCCCTTTCTTGCGGGTTGTCTGACTGTCCTGAGTGCTATCATCTGGTTGGGAATGAGAGGCTTCCGCCTGATGTTCGTCCTCAGAGCTGCCTAGCAAGCGGCGTGTGCGACGAGTGGGTGCCACAGTAGCACCACGACTGCCACCAGGCTGAACAGTCTGATCCACTCGATGTCTTTTGTTGCTATGGTGGAGGCGGCTGTTGGGCTTGCGCTTGTTGCCCCCACCACCGCCTGCACGACCACGTCGCCGTTCGTTAGGGTTGTAGCTCTCTTCCGAGTCGTTGGCATTGGTCTCATCATCACTGACATTCTGGCGCGCTACTCGACCGCGGCGGCGACGTGTATGCTGCGGCGAGCTGCCATTGGAGTGCGCTTCCTCATCCTCATTGTCATCGCTGCTTGCATCCGAGGTTGTTTCCTCCTCCTCTTCCTCCTCATCGCTCTCCGAATTGCTGCTGCTCTCGTGGCGTCGCTGCTGTGGATTAGACGACGATGATGTCACACGATTAGAGCTCGAAATCGTGGCACTAACGGCTACGCCATTGCGACGCCTGCTGCCGCGTTGAGTGCCACGCGGCACCTGCTGCTGCGGCGCAACACTATCATCGTCATCATCATCGTCGTCGTCCTCATCTTCTTCGCTCGTATGCGCTGGTAGCCTTCTGGCAGCGCCAGGCGGCTTTTGTGTGCGCCGCGTGGTGCGATCCGTAGGCGTTCGCTTGCTGGGGCTACTAGAGCCGCGTCCACTGCTGCCGGACTTGTTCTTGTTGGCGCGTCTGCGCGCCGCCTTCCAACTGCTAACCACCGTCTTGATGTGCGACTCGAAGAGGGCACTTAAACGCAATGTCATTGCATAGATCTGCAATAGAAGTGATGAGAGCAATTAGTGAGATGAGCTCCAGAATTAAAACAAATCAATGGGAGTTGAGTTATGTAGAAGTAGTAGCCCAAGAGCAACCTTACCGCTAAGTTATCCTATTTTAGTTGATTGTCACGGATCGTCATTCATTTGGTTTAGTTCGAAATATTTGATGGGTTTGGATTGATTCGAGTGATTCGATTGATGGTTTATGAGTTGGGTGGTAGTTAATTTTTGAAGTTTGAAGGCATGTTAACAAATTGCAAAAGAAACGTTAAGAAGAGATGAGCTGGTGTGTGAGCTTGTGTGGTGTTAGCAGTGCGGGAAATAGGATAGATAACGAAACAATTCGGATTTCTACTTATTTAAAAACCAATTTTAAATAACAAATTATGAAGAGCATAATTATTTTGTGTCGGTGTTATTAAAATCCCATCTTTATTTATATTTTACAGTGAGGGAGTTGTGTGAAATTCAAAAGAGAATGAAACGTAAGTGCAGTAAGATAGAAACTAACTCATACAAAATAAAGGAGTTATAAAAGAAATAAGAAAAATTATTTTTTTAGATCGTTGAAGATTATTCTTACAGAACGCAGGAAGAAGCACGATTTAATGGTAATCTGAGCCATATAATACTCTAATTTTCTCTACTATCAATAAGCCTGATTAAAATAATGATTTATTAAAGTAACCTCAAAAACTCATGATATAAAAGTTTGGTCAAGATATCTTGTAAACAAGGGTTTTTATACAGCTATCGACCAATTATTCCTATGATAACTTTAGGATTTAGTATACAGTCTACCTCCAAAAATTAGAATCGCTGCCAAGCCTCATCTAGAAAGCTTATAATTGGCTTACATAAAAAATCTCCTTTTTTATAAATGTAATAATTTAAAAAAAAAAAAAAAAAAAAAAAAAAAAAAAAAACAAATAATATTCATAAATATTTGGTAAGCTTGTAGAATATCTAAATAATTTGTTTGATGATTTACTCAAATTATTCTTCGGCATTTCGAATTAAATTAATTAACATATCCGCTTATCAGTTTAGCTACTATTAAGGCTCATAATACCCAAAAACAAAGCAACAAAATCACAATAAGATTAACTGCAATGACAATTGCGCTTGATGCGCATTTGGCATTGGTTTGAAATAAATGACGATCTGTAGCAGTACCCAGATCCAGCCAGGGGACTCACCCGTGAGCGTTTGTTGGTATTGTAGTTCTTAGAATTGAGGAATATAAGTCGCACATCCTTGGCAAAATCTAATGGATCATCGTAATTGCCACCCAGTAGATCCTCTTTGACTGTACGCAGATCCATCGGTGTGGCAATGATTTCCAAATAGTCCGGAAACTCAATTGTATCGACTGGTTCACGAAATGGTAATGAATCAGGCCGCTGCCACATCATATCCAATAGTTGCCGGCAATCAGAGCGCCAGTCGCCGTCGGAGCGTATGCGATTCGACCTGCAATCAATTCACTTTCATATTTATATATTAATTAATAAGGTTTATTATGCTTGCCGTCGTGTCGATGAAACGCGCTGGCGGGCAGCAGCTGCTGAGGTGGTTGGACCGGTGCTTGTCGATGGTACAACATCCGAATCAGCTTCGTTTTCTGACTCTGAGGAGTGATAAACGTCCACTAGTTGATGATAAACGGCCGCCACGTCTATTTCATCCGCTTCTCTGTTTGAATTCAAACGTTAAGTTAATTAATAAATGGAACCATTTTCGAAAAATGTATGATAGCGAGAAATTATTGTAAACATATATCACTTACCTAATGATACGCAGACACAGATCAGTCACAATCCGTGCATGCTTCACGATGCTTGTGTGCCGGCGATTGTATTGCTCAGCATTGGTGGCTAGATAGCGGACATCAAACTGTGCCGAGGTTATACGACGGTAAAAGTGATTTTCAAAGCGCGATTTGACCGTTGTTAAATCGATGGGATACTCAATTAGATAGGCATAATCTGGGTAAATGTTGAGGTCCACTGGCGCCAGAAAATGCTCTGCAATAGACAAACGCATGACCTAAAAGAGACGAAAACAGAAGTTATTAAAGTTGCATAATTTATATATATTTTTTTTGTTTTATTAGTTGCTTTTTTACATTAAATAGTAGGCGAAAATCGATCCTTTACTTTTGTTTTAATAAAACGGTAGTCTCCATTCAACATTAAGGCAGAAAACGTCGCTTACAAAAACAAAAATTAATTTCAATTGTACAAAGGAAGTGGCTCGTTCGAAGTATAAAGATTTACAGAGCATGATCAAAATATTATTTATTTATTTGATCATAAAAGGTTTGTGATGTGTTCCATAATCTTTCCCAATTTAGACATATTTCGACTGATTCCAACTTTATTTTAATATTCAATTTAAAAAGAAGTTCGGAACTGACAATTGATGTAGTTTATATATTATTGTGCAGTGGACTTTGGGTTTGATCAGTAAAGATAAAACTATGAATAGGAACGCGATTTCTATTTCAAATACGATCATAAATACTTTATTTAAATAATGATTTTCTTTCAGTTATCGCTTACCTGCTCAAGTCCATTGATGATGCGACGGCACGTGCCATCGCGATCGCCCCGATGCCATTCCTCGGACTTGGGCTGATATAGCGTGGCGCGTATCTCTTCCGGCAGTACGGGTACAGCACCGCCCACTTCATCTGGCAACCGCTGCTCATCGATGGGCTCCATATCCCAGGGACTCATGTACTCGTATTCACCATTATCCCAGCGCACGCGGAAACACATAAAAAATGAGTCGGGAAAATCAGCACTAAGCGCATGACGCGACTCAATCTGGCCCATCCACCAGCCGTCGCCGATCATACAGCGAAATCGATCCGAGATACTCCAGTTGCGCTGCACCGCCAAATCGAAGGTCTGGCGCAGAACGAGAAAGTCCAATACGTCGGGCATGTCATGGTACTTAATTTTAAATGTGGTGCCCGTCATGTTGCCCTCGTCATCGATGATGGCAAGTTTGAGGCAGCATAAACGCGGCGGACGAATCTCGTATTTAATGCCAATCACACGTACCAGCTCATGATCGCGGAGTGTTCGAAAATTCCAGGGCTCAGAGCTGTGCGACAGCTTGTAGACCTTTTTGAGACGCACCGCCTCCAGATAGCGCTGATGGCCCTGGCGAAAGTAAACAATCTCGTCGCCCATTTGTGGATAGTAGGGCGCCTTACGTGGTATCACCTCCGATAGCCACTCGGCTGGACGGTAAAGCTCTGGGATTTCGCCATTAGGTGTAGTTGGTGGGATGAGGACACGTTTTCGTCCGCGCTTTTTATTGCCGACTGCTGTATTGCCTGGCGTCGCATCATCGCTGCTGTCATCGCTTATAGTGCGACGACGTGACAGTGGTTTGCGCTTGGAGCGCTTTGGTGGCTCAAGATTTGGTCCGGGCGTATCAGCCACCCAATCTGAGTAATCGGAGCTATCTGTTTCTGATTCATCGCTGCTATCCTCTAGATTCTCTTCCACATTAGAGTAGCTGGTGTCACCTGAGCTGTTGCTGCTATCATCCTCTTCTTCCTCCTCATGTGCAGCGGGCGCCGCGGCATCATCATAGTGTTCCTCCTGACCACGCACAGCACGCGTACGATACGCAGGTTGTTGGCCACCTTGCTGCTGTTGACCAGATTGGGCGCCACGTCTTCGTCCGGGCCGTCCGGCACCGTTGGATCGCGTATTGCGTGGCCTGCCGACTCCAGCCAGCAGCGCCGAAGCGGCACTTGCCGTATTTATCATAATTGGACGGCGACGCATCTCACGCTTGTATTCCTGCATCTCGTACTGGCCGATCGAATATATGGTCTGCTTGAGGTTCTGCAGTTGCGCATACTTCATGGGACGCACGTAGGTGCGACGCACAAATTTCAAAGGCATTGCCTGTTGGGCAGGTAATGCCAGCCGAGGTTCGACCTGCGCCTGCTCAGCCACAGCTGGCGCCGCAACAGGCAGTGCTGCGGCCCAACCCTGACGAGGTGCTCCTTCAGCTAGAGAACGACGACCGCCCAGCACGTTGCCACGTTGCGGGGTATTGCGCGAAGAATTTGAATCGGGCATGTGGTCCTGACCCTGGCGCATTATTAAGCGCTCAAATGACTGATTTGCATTGTTGGCATCGTTGGCGTTGGCATTGTTGCCCTGACGATTGGCAAGTGCAGCAATCATCCGATCGATATGTGAATAATTTCCACCTGCACCAACTGCTCCTGCGGCTCCCCCTCCCACACCAGCAACAGGAGCGGCAGCAGGCCCAGGAGCTGCTGCAGCGTTCGGCGGCGCATTTATATTATCCTCGATAACAATCCCGTCAATTCCCACGGTTAGATTGGGTATCAGCTGATCCGTGCTGCAGCTTTCACGACCGGGAACAAACCGTTGATACTTTGTCGGATGGGGATTGCCGTCGGCGTCGACCAGAAATGGAGGCGGCATTAAATGCGGCATTATCTGTGTTTGCTCATCCACCACGTGATGGTGTGCATCACGAAGCAGCGGTCGAAAATCCGTGTGAAAAAAGAGCTCTGTTGGCAGCTAAAATCAAAAAATGGAGGATTTTAAGGCGTTTGCAAACTATTTAAATCTTGAACATACCAATTTGTACTTATCAGTGCCAATACCAAGGCCAAAGATCAGTATGTGACCATGTGAATCGGTGGCCGCAATCATGGTGCCATCCGGTGACCATTTGGCATCGAACACGCTACCATGTCCCTGGCCATCGATGTCATTAAAAAACTGGGCCACACCTACGCCCTGCTCAATATCCCACAGAAATACCTGGCCATCATGGCCGGCAGAGAGTAAAACATGCTCATCCCTTGGATTCGATTCCAGCACATATAACTCATCCTTGTGACCACGCAGCACGCGATGCAACTTAGCTGATTTTGAATCCCAAATTTTAATCTGTTGAATAAAGTAGTAATAAGTTATTGTCGAACGATAATTGCTCAGATATACGCACGGTAAAATCATTGACTGCCGTAATGACATAACGATCTGAAGCATCCCAGGCGACCATTGTAACCTTTAATTTCTTGCCTTCTTCCGGCTCTGGACAGCTGCAGGATAAGCATTAAATTAAAATCTAAAATCGACACAGATATCACCGGGTGCAAACCTTGGCAGCCGTTCGGTCATGCATAATTTAATGCTCTTCCACTGCTGCGACTCAAAGGTCCAGACGTGGGCTGTGCCATCCTTGCTGCCCGATATGAAACGCAGCCCACGGTGCGACCACTGGACTGAATCTACGGCATCTGTGTAAGCCTCTGTTTCGAGAATACGCTTGGGCCCATCTTCGGCCATCATATAGACACGCACATGATGATCTGCAGAGCCGGCGGCCAAAAACATTCCTCCCGGCGAGAACGTGGTGCACATCATTTGTGCCTGTCCTGGTCGCAACTTTTCGTGGTATTGTGTGGGCCTTGGTGCGAATGTTATCTTTTGGCCACGTGGCGTCGAATATTGCCAGAATGCAATAGAGCCATCTGTGCTGGTTGTCACCAAATATTTGAGATCGCTTCGTGGTGATGGGCAAAAGTTAACCGAAGTTATCATGCCCGTATGGGCGGCAAGAACTGCTATTGGTGAAGTTGTTTGCATGTCCCAGACGCGCAAAATGCGATCAACAGAGCCCGCGGCCAACATTGTGTTATCCAAATTAATGGCAATATCGGTAATTTCTGCTGAGGCGCCGCGCAGCGTAGCCAACAGACGCCCATCCGCAGCGGACCAAATCTTGATCAGCAAGTCATCAGCGCCAGTTATTATATAGCGACCTGTGCGATCAAAGAGCACACAATATACCGACGACAAGTGGCCAACAGTGCGCCGCAACAGCTTTGTCTTCCGATAGAGATCCGTGGGCACCAGTAGCTTACGGCGCACCACACCCCCATGTTCGCGGCCGGTAATTACCTTGGCTGCAAGTATATTGACAAAACGGATTAAATGGTATTCTTGTTAATAATTTTAGCTACAACTCACCTAAATTGTGTGTGGGCTTTGTGAGTCTCGAATCTGGCAATGATATGCCATGGAGACGTGTGCAATAATCGCGCAGGGTGCGATGCCGGTAGACAGTGTCTTTTGTGCGTAACAAATTTTGACGGCCTGTGCCAAGCAATGATGTTATTCCTGGGACGCTCGGCGCCAGCTCCTTGTCGACAAGCGGGCCAAGACGACTGCATATTTCTAGCAGATGATTCGGGCCAATGTGCGCGTATTTTTGTTCCTACAATATTTTGAAAAACAACGATTTATCGATATCGATAACACAACACACATGTCACTGAACAGTGCGCAGATGTTTTGTGCGCAAGTATCTTTAGCCGTCTCACTCTAACGCACTGATGGTGACTTGTCAAAGGCCTTGCAATACATACATACATACGTATATGGTATGAATGTATGGAAAGCAAGATGTCGGCTACCACAGATTCTTAATAAAACTACTATGTACATAATTTTAATTAATTTAACAATTTGCTCAAAATTTACTATAACGTGCCTAAATATGCAATATTTTAATCATGTTTTCACTTATTTATTATAACTTTCCAGTTTTGCATACTATTTTTTTAATCTAATTCATTTATTAATTTAAATATGAATGTTAATTGTTGCATTAAACTAATTTTCATTAATTGCAAAAAATTAAATGTTTAACACATGTCTTCAATCAATCGATGGCTATGTGACGTCACAAAAGCGCACACGCACGCACACACACACACACAGGCACAAAAAAAAAATCGAAAACAAAGGCGTGAAATCTTAAAACAAATTTCAATTATGCAAGCACAAATCACTACAGAAATAAATAGACACTAAATCATAACAATCACTCACCAATTCGGCAAAGGTCTGCTCATGTTCATTGCCCAGCCAGTCAATGCGCCGGGGCAGTACCTGTGGGCGAAGGAAGAAGCGGCAGTCAAAATTTGTTATCACTTGCACTTGCTGGGCACCAAAATAATGACGTCGCCGTCGCTTCCGTCACAGCCGGGAGCCTATTTTTTTTACCTACTTTTATTATGCGGACAGACGACGGTACGGACAGACAGTAGACAGACGGACTTCTCCCATACTGTCGCACCGTTATGCGAATTCAGTTCAGTTTCAGTATAGCTTTGAACTCTGAAATAAGCAGACGGTGCAGGCTGCTGCCGGCGCTACAACAACAGCAGCGACGACGACAAACCAAAACAAAATATATAAACAAACGCTGTTGAGTTTCTACATTAAAAATTGCATACCAGAGAAAATTCCTCAAAAAACAAAAAAAAATCAGACAATTGAAATACGTTGGCTCACAACAAAAACGAATACTCTGATGCTTACCTTCTTTTGTTCTAATTCTTGCACTAGAACCTGAAAATTGAATATTTGGAAATCGGGTTAGTAAAATGTTTGTAAACAAAAGCGAAATTCAAACGACGAAATTGCGCTCTTTTTGCAGGGCGGCGCTCAACAAAACGCCCGATCACCGACCTTTGCAGTCTCTTCCAGCGGCCCCGCAGTAAGAAATTTGGAAATTAGGAAGTACAATTCTGAAATAGAAATAATGCGGTACACAATAAATGCAACAAGTTGCTTGGCAAATGCACATAATTATCATAAAATTGCATTTATTTCGGGTCGGCCATTCGCGCAGATTTTACACTCACTGGCCCAGGGCACTAAGGCTGAGGCCAGCCAGCCAGCCAGAGGTAGCGTACCTCTTGGACTACGGCCAAATGGACGCCAAATTTGTGCAGATTCATAACCTTTGACAATATAACGCACCTGGCACTATCACATCATTTAAACTGGGCTGCCTGTTTTCCATTATTACACATTTTATTACGAAAGTACAAAATTGTCGCACTGATATTCGCCTGAAATACTTTTTTCAGCTTCTTCTTCTGTGACACTACGAGTTGTCATTCAGGCTACTCCGTTAAGAAAGTCAGTTTGTGCGTTAGCTGTTGAGCGTTCAGTATGTTAAATAACATGAATATTATAATTCGGTATTTTTTAGCTTGTTACAATTTGGTCACACTGACATTGTGCTGCAGTTGCTAGAAAAATATTATTTTTTGTAGATTTTACTTCTATCCATGTTGTAACAACTCGGCAAAAAGCAACTAAACCCGACATTTAATGCACACACTGTTTAACCAGCACATTTTCCAACATGGATTGCAATCTGGGCAGCGAAATTGGTCAGAAGATGCGCGTACGTTTAGTTTTTCTCTTCGCGAAAAATCAATGAACTCGTAATCAACTCGGTTTTTTTATATTTTAATAATATTCCAGAGTGCCGTAAAGGCGAAGCTGCTCGAATTAGGTACTGGCGGCTCTGCCGGCTTCATCGACGACGAACTGCCTGACTATGTAATGGTAATGGTGGCCAATAAACGCACCAAACAGCAAATGAACGCAGAGCTCAATCTGTTCCTCGGCGATCAGACCGATCTCTTCGTGACTTGGCTGCACGAAGTTCTTCAAAAGCTGCAGGAAGTAACGCTACCAGCATCAAGTGGTGAGTTGTTTTATAAGTATATTAATTTACAGCTCACTTTGATAATTTTCTCAGCTGGCAGTAAGAAACGCAAATCTCGTCAAGCCGAGGCGCCCAAAGCAAAGGACAAAGACAAGGATAAGGATAAGGACAAAAGGGGCAAGGACAAAAAGGATAAAAGGGCGCACAGAAAATCCGGCGACGACTTGCCTAATACATCAGTTGATATTACAAAAAGATCAGCAGACTCGATGCCGGCAATTAACTCCATAACGGATGTCTTTGCCGAAGAGCTACTCGAAAAAGCTAAAAAGACGCTCGATATGGATGGTAGCCTGAAGGATGAGCTGCTGCTCAAGAAGAAAAAACGCAAATCAGCAGAAGATGATGAGCAACCGCATCCGCAGCCACTACAGCAGCCGGCAACAAAAGATTTCGATGTACCAACCGTGTCAGAAATCAGCTCAACTACCACCAGTGGCAATCGGGAGAAGGATATTGCTGAGTTGGCCGAAATTCAGCGTAAAATCTACGCAGCCAAGCAGCATTTGCGCCAGATTGGTGAGCTGGACGATGAAAGCGAAGAGGAGGAATGCCAACAGCTGGTCGAGGATGTGCTAAGTATCAACGAGCAGGATGAGTCTGTTGCCCAAGATTCCATGACTGCAATTACAGAAGCATCAAGCGCCAGTACGAGCACACGTCGAGCAAAGAGTCCCATTGTGTTTAATAGGACGACCGATCCAGTGGTAGCTAGAGAAAAACCAAAATCTCAAATTGAAACAACAGCTCAGCAAAAGTTTAGCGACGAGCGTTCGGAGCGGCGCTCGGTGCACGAGCGTTTAGGCTGCAAGACACAAGGTCCACAGCCGCCACAACAACAGTTAACGCTTCCGGAGCGTTCACAACGCATGCAAAAGGAGCTGGAGCTTTATGTACCAGCTCATCGCAGACGCAGCGAGCAGCAGCAGGAGGAGAGCAAGAAACTTGAACGTGGCAGAGAACGTAGTCATCGCAACGATAGCCAGCCAAGTCGCCGCCGAGAGCGGGAGACGTTGCGCAGTCGACGCACACCTAGCCGTAGTCCCGAATCCAACTTCAAGCATCGCATTGGGTCGCGTGTGATTGTGGCAGTTAATAAGCCGCCGGAGCCATCCGACGATGAGGATCTGCTGGAGAAGCCCGTTAATTCGGTTATCAAGATTAAGCCACGGCCACAGGTTTCGCCGCGGCGCCAGGCCTGCAAGAATCTGCTGCTTCGAGCCGTTGCCGATGCACAGCGATCCACGATCTTGGCCAAAACGACAGTGACGCCGACAACAGCTGCTGTCGCGGCATTAAAGCAACGAGGTACTGGAGACGAGCCAGAGCTCATCAGTTCCACGTTGGGCAAACGGCGCTCAAATGATTCAAGTGGAAGTGGTGCTGGAAGAGAGCTGTTTCGGCGCAGCAGGCGGGAGCTGATGGTCAATGTACTGCACAGAGATAGCAAACAGATGCGTCACTCAGCCGAGCCACATGCTGAAATCAATCTGGTGGCAGAGGAGCTAGAGGAGGAGTATGTGCCCAGCTTAAGCGTTGGCAACTATGAGGCTTATGTGCCACAGCTGGTACACAACGATGCGGCGAAAGTGGACATAGATATTGACATGCATGTGGAAAAAAGTGCTGGAAGCGTCGGTGGCTCCACAGCTGGTGTATCCAAAACACAATTTGTGGTGACACTGAATGGTGATAAATCTTTGGGAAGTGTCGCTACTGCTGCCTATCGTAAGCGTCCACGTAAACGCACGCCTTCCCCGCAAGTATCCTCGACCAGTTGCACAACAGTGCAGTTTCTGAGCGCTGAGCCAACCTCAACGACCTGCACTTCCTCAACAAACAACAACAACAGTAGGCGTAACAAATCCAAACGGGCGCGCAGCTCGTCGCGATCTTCCCCTTCCACATCGAGCAATACGCCGCCACCAAAGCCTTCGCGCAGTCTGCATCGCAGCGAGGTGTTGAGACAAGCGCCGGAAATTAAGAAAATCATCATCAAGAATGACGCTGAAGACGATGAGGAGGAGCAGCAGTTGCCTGAATCGCCGCGTAAGCATGGCTCCCAAAAACGGCAGGGCAGCAACTCCAATATGTCCGCCTCTTCCTCCAATGACCTAAAGGCAGACTCAAAAGTTCAGCCAGAAGAGAGCAATCGCTCAACTACGCCACCACTGCCACCAATGCGGCTGCAGAAACGCGACTTTAGCCGTGAGAAATCAACAACGGCGTCAGCGGCTGCAACTCCGGCAACAGTAGATGCGCCTGCAAAGGCCAAGCACACGCCCATACGCTTTAAGCTTAAGTCGGATGAGGAGGAGTTGCAGCCGGTAAAGAAACGTCGATCCGGCAGCAAAGAGCGTGAATCGTCCATGGAACGACGGCGAATCTCTATACGCAATGCGGAAGATCGAAAGTACGATAATTTACCGGCATGTAAGTATCTCGAATGTTACATTGTGTTGTAGTATTCTCTAAGTTGTGGAAGGCAATTTTACATGTCGCTGTTAAAGTGATGTTAACAGACAAACATGTTAAACCTAACAGACACCTAAGTTCTTCGAATTAGCATATCCGTTAATACGAGGACGTTTTGAGACTTAATTTCTTTTTCCATTTGGAGTGTTCGTTTTGGTAATTAAATTTATATGCCCTAAGCTAACCCTCGGCGGATCGCAAAAACATACGATAAGAAAAATATAATACTTACAATACATAATTCCAACAAGTAATTATGCTCTTCTCGGAGAGTGATCGATAAGAAGATACCCTATAGCTAATTCAAGAATATCGTTAATTATTAAGCATTCGGTAATTATTAATGTTTTATAAATTTAGTTTATCTAGAAACGGTTTCTTACTGCAGCGGCTGCATACCCAATGCAATAAGCGAGTGTTATGTTAAAATGCATAATATTGACTAAAAGGTGACATTTGTGAACGCTTTTCATGATTAAATCTCGATTTGATTTTGAAAACAAACTTTTGTAACCGTGAATAGCGCAATTACACATAGCACAATTTGCTAACATTTACTCTTTTATTGCTATGGCGTTCAGTCTACTTAAATATACGCATTTTTATTTTTAATATATAGATTTGTCTACTCATATTTGCACTAATATTTTTCCTAATGCCTCGTTTTATGCGCAGTAAGCGCCGTCAGTGTGGATTCAACGGTTTTAAAGGTGACGAAGCCAAAGGAGCGCTGCAAATACCATCCCAATTGCAGCAAACAATTTTGCGAATATTATCATCCATCGGCACCATGCAAATCCTTTCCCAACTGCAAATTTGCTGACAAGTGCATGTATTCGCATCCAAAGTGTAAATTCGATTTGGCCTGCATGAGCATCGACTGCAACTTTGCGCACAGTGGCAACCGGGATCTGAGTCACGTGCAGCTGGCGGCGCCGCCTCTGTGTAAGTGCAACGTGTGGCCAATTATTAATCTTATTAAGTTGTAATTAATATATATTTTTTATATTGGTAGCCTCGCATGTGATACCTGTGCAAAATTACAAATCAATATCTGCACCGGTGACGGCGACCACAGCAACCACCATGTGCAAATATTATCCCAACTGCACAAAGGCGGGCTGCACGTTCTATCACCCAAAGCCATGTCGTTATGGCAAGAACTGCATTAATAAGCTGGAGTGCATATTTTATCATCCGGAGATGCAAAGCAAATTTAAATGGGTGGCGTCACTGGGCTGAGAACAACCACTCGAACTAGCGCTCATTTTCATTAGCATTTTTTTATTTAACGGATTGCACACTTTTTTGGATTCTCTTCTATTCACATCAGAAATATTGATAGTAGCGCAAAAACTTCACGAACAATTTTACTTTGCAAACTGTGTTTTGTATTTTGGTTAATTTCATTTGTGAACTTTATTTGGCTACTCATTGCATATTTAATATTTTATATTCTAAACATTAGCTCGCGAAAACATCAACAACAAAACATTGAAATATTAAAACTGTTGTCAATAGATTTGTTGCGTTATGTTTAAAGGAAGACTCGTCTACATCTTAACTGTAAACGTCATATATAAGTCGGTGAATAAAATTTAGCAATCTTCTTGCTACAAATTGGATATCAAAATTTGTTTCAGTTTAAAACATCTTCTGACGAGATATATCGGGTTTAGAAAGTTTGTTGTAACCCCCTAAGCCGGAATAAAAAGTGGATACTTCTATATATAAGTATCGATGAAGCATAAATGAATATTTGATAAACATTCAATCTTAACAATTGATAAATAATATTGAGTACCAGAGATTTGCCTTTAAAAGTAAACTAATCGTGACTGCAAATTGCAATATATCTCGAATTGGTTTTCTAGATCTCCAGCAAATTTAATAAATGTCGTGCAGGTCTTCCAATATAACCCAATCTACATATATATGCAAAAATTACAAAAGAATTTTTTTCGTTTATTTTTTGTATTTATTATCTTTTCTTTGAAAAAAGTCGCAATATTTAATGTATGTATAGTACAGTCTCTTAAGTTTACGCTTAAAAATTTTAGAGCAAAATATTTGATTTACTTAATAGCTACGTAGAATTAGTTTTCATGCTCTTTCTATAAGGCCGCAATAAATGATATATATATATATATATATATTTAGGCATGTATAAATAAACATATATATGTATGCATGCAAGGGTATGTAGGATTTTATTTAGCTCAGCTAATTTAGTTTAAAAACGGGCATACACACCTATTTACAAAATATTCTTGTACATTAGCGTATTTAAGGGCTTGCGCATGCAATGCTTCGAATTCTGTTGTTATTTTGTTTTTGAACTCTATTTTCAATTTCGTGTTTCTGTTTCTGTGTGCAGCATAACTTTGTTCGCAGCTTTTAGATATATACTCGTTCATTCTGTTTACATCGAATACTGAATCTAAACAGTAACTATATAACGACTATAAAGTGATTGCCATACAAACTACTCGCTATAATAAATAGAAAACTGAGTTATTTACTAACTAAAGCGTAGGTATTAAAGTCTAAGTGTGTCTCTGTGGGGGGAGGATTGCTGCAGAGTTGCTCTGTGGAAGCCTGATTCATTGCTTTGCGAGCACCTTTTAAAGACGAACTTAACTATAGATAAACTTAGTACAACAAGACAGGATCGCATTGTACTTATATGGGCGGATTTTGTAAAATATCTTTTGTTTATATTCAGGCTTGGTACTGGTGCTAACTAAATAAGTCGTTCTTCTGGCGGTGGCTTGAGCACATTGTCCATTTCCAGCCTAGGATTACAGTACTCCTGTGCGCTGGGACTGTAGGTGCCACGTGTGGCACGCTTATTGCGTGCCATCACCAGAAACGTGCCCAACAGTGCACCAGCAATCAACAGCAGGACGACAACAACAGGTATGACAATAATAGCAATGTCTGTTGTCGATGGACCATCATCCTTGGCCGTTATCTAAAGATACATATTGATTAGAAAAGTTTTCTAGAGTTGTGCAATCTTGTAACATACCGGCGCTGTGCAGTTCTTTCCCATAAAACCCTCGGTGCAATTGCAGTAGTAATCCGCTTCGCCGCCGCAGTTCTCCACGCACTGGCCGCCATTGGCGCAAATGTTTAGCGTATTACACGGATCGGTAAAGTTACAGAAGGCGCCACAGTAGGGCTTCTGGCAAATGCACTTAAAGCTGCCCGGCATGTTGATGCAGCGTCCGAGATCGCCACAATACTCCAAGCTCTCGATGCACTCGTCTATGTCGTTTTCACAGTGCACGCCTTCAAAGCCAGTGGACGTACAGTTGCATTGATAGCCACCTACAAGATCGTTACATTGGCCACCATTCATGCAGGGATTGGAGGCACATTCATCGATCTCCTCCTCACAAAGGCGACCCATATAGCCCAGACTGCACTTGCAATTTGGTATCTGTAAAAGCTAAAAGTCTTAAAATGTGTGTTCAAAGACTAAATAAATGTAGGCTTACGGAATTCGTGGTCAGACACAACCCTCCATTGGAGCAGGGTGTCAGCTCGCAGAAGGGCATGTCACATAGTGGGCCCTCAAATCCTGTAGAGCATGTGCATGTAAAGTTATTCCCGGTTTGAGCATCTAAAAAGTAAATACATTTAAGCATATATTAATATCCTGTATATCTTAAACGTAAAAACGAAAAATTCACCCAAAGGTTTAATGGGCTAAGTTTCGGATTATAGGGGCAGGATTAAAGACCCCAGAACCAGATGTAACCAAAACAACTTCTCTTTAGCAAAAAGAGGATTCAGGTTTAAGTAAAAGGTAGCATATTTCGCAAGCTGACTTTTGCAGCAGCTGAATAGATAAGGAGCATACACAATGCATAAAACTAATGGGCAGGTTAATTTGTGGCCTCTGGTGGATGATATAGTAACTCGTCATAAATGGTGCATTAGCTAAATATGCTAGAGATGACTTAGATATAGTTAGTTAATCAGTATATTGACTTACTAAATCCATTTTCACAGGTGGAATCATTGCGACAAGGCTCATTTTCGCAAGTCATCTGCTTGAGCGCACTGCACTGCGGACCCGTGTACTCGTCGGGGCAGTCGCAGCGGTAGGCAGCGATCAGATCGGTGCAGTTGCCGCCATTGTGACATGGCTGGGCGGCGCATTCGTCAATGTTCTGTTCACAGTAGCGACCCTCGAAGCCGGGCTGGCACTCGCAATAGAAGTTGGCCACCTGATTTATGCATGTGGAATTGTTTTCGCAGTGCGTGTTGAGGCACTCGTCGATGTCCGTGGCGCAGTCATCGCCCTCGTAGCCCGCCTGGCAGGTGCACGCGTATTCATCGTTGGGCGCATTGCAGTAGCCGCCATTTTTACAGTCCGCTTGGAAGCACAAAATGCAGCCCTCCTCGGGTCGGGTCGAGTTCAGGCGAAATTGTGCATGCAGCTGCACGGACACATTCTCAGTGTGCGGGTAGAGTTCGGCATTGGAGAAATAGGGCAACAGTAGATCACCGACGCGCGCCTCACCCAGGCAGCCCTTGAACTGGGAGCCCTGCTGGGAGGATTGTGTGGAGCCGCGCAATTGACGCGACTCTGGCATGCCGCCCAAATAGACTTGGGTGCTACTGAAGAGCAGATCCTGGAACGCCGCCTGATCGATGTCCGTTGAGAAGCCAGGCGTGGGATCTACCATCGATTCCCAACCCTTCCAGCCGCCCTCAAGTTTACCGCCATGTGCACGCAAATAAATGCGATTCCATTCGCCATCCGTGTTCTCCTTCTCGAAGCGCCCTGACTCACCAATGTGCAGCTGGGTCAGCTTCCATGTGACAGTGACCCTGCCGCCATTTACGCCAATTTCAAAGAAGCTATCCTGATTGTCAATGAAGAGCAGAGTGCCACCGGCACGTGTGCGATATGCAATTTCAATTACCGGTTTCAGTAGCGGCTGCTTGGCCATGCCGCCAATCTCATCTGGCAGCTGCTCTTTGAAGTAGGAGAAGGCTAGCGGCGAATGTTCCTGGCCAGTGAATGTGATATTGGTTAAGCACTCGTAGCCATCGTCCAGATTCTGGCAGCTACTGCCGCCTGGACAGGTGACCAGCTGACAGAACTCAATCTCCTGACAATCCTTGCCCTTGTAACCATTCGGGCATTTACAACTATAGTCGTTCCATGTGTTGCGGCACTCGGCATTGTGTTTGCACGGATTCTTGCGGCACAAATCGTCCGACACCTCGCCCGGCAGTACCGACGTTCGATCAATGCTGACCGCTCCAAAGGGCTTGGCGTTCACATTTACATCGGTCACATTCAGTGGATACATTTCGACGATCATATTGAGCGAACCATTGCTCACTTTAACATCCTGTATTATGCCCTTGAAGTAATCCTTGCTGTCGTCCGCCTCCTTGGACGGCGTGTTGCCGCTTACGGGCACGCTGCTCTCATCTAAGCCCGGCTCTGTGCTAACTGGCAGCAAAGATTCGCGCGTTGGCGCCGGCCCGCCCAAGTAGAGCACCTGTGCATCCAGCAGACCCGTCGTCGACAGCGTCTTGCGGAAGTACTCGGTACCATTGAGCTTGACCTGCACCAGTGTCTGATTACGCACCACCTCGATGAGATGATTGTAGCCATTGTCCAGCTTTTGTGCACCGACCGTATATGCCTCTGGCGTGCCATTAAACAGCATCTTCACCAGCAACTCACCACCATGCAGCTTAGCAGACACATACGAGTCGCCAACGTCTACGGAAGAGGTACATTAAGATTGGATTTCACTTTGTTAGAAATACTCACTCTTTGTGGGCATCTTGCGCGGATCGCTTCCCAGGTAGAAGACCTGACCCGTTGGTTCGCGCGTTCGTATAAACATGGATATGTCCAAAATGGAGCGTATGGCGCGTCTGGCTACATCTGTCGTCTCCACAATCACAGCCGAGTGTGTGGTATTCTCATGTCCAAAGGTGGCTGCCGTCATATCTAATGAGTATAGAAGAGTTTGTTATGCCAAATACTTGTCCAGAACTGTAAACGAGTACTCACTGTGCTGGCATGTGTGTCCAAAGAAAGGCCTGGGACAGTGGCAGGTGAAGGTGTGCCAAAGATCTGTGCACTCGCCATTGGAGTGACACGGATTTGGGTTGCATTGCTGCGTGCGCGGACAGCCGCTTTGTACATAGGACAATTTGGTATTCTCATCCAAATCGGGCTCGTTGTGCTCATCGGGAAAGATCCATTTGCCATTGACGACGACATCCTGCATGCAGCCCACATAGCTGGTGGGCTGATGCGTCAGATGGTTTAGATATGACTTTAAATTGGGTATGGTTCCGCCCAGATAGGTTAGTGGGAACAAGGGCTGGCTATTGTTGGCTGTCTCATAGGAACCCACGGGAAAGATGGCCTGCTCATCATTGGCAGAAAGCACCAAGTGCGACGTATTGATGGCCACAAACACTTTGTGCCAATTACTATCATTCAGCTTGGATCCAATGAAAACGCCCTCCCATTTGTTCAGCAGCGATGAATGTAAATTCAGCCTTCCATTGATCAGTTCCAGTATATAGCTAACCGGTCCGTTCTGACCACCGGAGGTTCCAAAGGCAAGAACACCATTTGGCAGCGTTGTCTTGAACTGCAAATTAATGTCGTAGCCCTCGTCACGTTGCGTCTTTACCGTTATCAGACTGCTGACAACCATGGACAAGGTTGTGGTCTTCTCGCAGGTTTCTCCCTGGTAGCCGTGCTCGCATGAGCAGTTGAACAGGTGTATCGTTTCGTTCACTAAAAATGGGCGACATGTGCCATTATTTAAACAGGGACCACTGATGCAGCCAATTAGCGGTACAGAGCAATTCTTGCCACCAAAATTGGCATCACAGTCGCATTCGTAGTCATTAATCTCATCAATGCAGGTGCCATTCTGGCAGGGATTATATCGATCGCATTCATCAATGTTGATCTCACAGTGTGTACCCTCAAAGCCCGGATCACATTCGCAGGTGTAGGTACCAATCTGTTGGGATGGAAAGCATTAAGTTTCGCGTCACTTTGTTAGCCTAATAATTGATGCACTTACTCCATCATTGCAGGTGCCGTGCTTGGTGCACGGATTACTCTCGCATTCATTTATATTGATCTCACAGTTCTTGCCTATGATGCCTGGCACGCACACACATTCATATCTGGAAAATAAGATATTAGGATAAATAATATTTTCCCCGCCTTGTCCCATCCATCGAATTTTAGTCGCGTTGTGTGGAATCTTGAAACCGAAAAATACGCTTTCAGGTATACATTTCATTCATACATTTGACCCGTTTTTTCCAGGGAAGAGAGATGGATTTTGCACTCCCCGAATGAATTTAAACACAGATAATTTAAAACGATTTTAGACCGATCGAACGATAAGCCAGCCGTTTTTCCGCGATTTCCCATGCTGGCGGAGTTTCGTAAGGGTAGTTTTTACATACATTTCAGCTTCTTTACGTTTATGGTTTAGATTCTCCTGGTTAACCAGTCAGTCAATCAGTCAGTCAGTCCAGATAAACAGTATACCATGTATATATTTTTTATTTCCAAGCACCACTTGTTCGCATCCTTAACTTACCCGCTGGCATTCTCATAGCTGAAGGGCTGACTGAAGACACGTGGCAAGTCCATAACCCTGCTTAGCTGATACAAGGTGGCATTGGAGCGTTCCAAGCAGCTACTGTTGTATTGACAGGGATTGCTCTCGCACTCATTGATATCCTGTTCACAGTTCTTTCCCTTGTAGCCAGCATGGCACTCACAGAAATAGTCCTTCACCTGATCTATGCACTTGGCGCCATTCGTGCATGGATTCGATACGCATTCATCAATATTCAGCTCACAGTTCTTGCCCTCGTATCCCGTGCCGCCGCAGTCGCAATGGAAGCCACCCAGCTCGTCTATGCACAGGCCATTGTTGAGGCAGGGCGCCGAGATGCAGTCATCGATGTCAATGTCACATATGCGACCCGTCATACCCGGTATGCAGGAGCACGTGAAATTGTTAATCATATCAATACAAGTGGAGCCATTCGAGCACGGATTGCTAATGCACTCGTCAATATCAATTTCGCAGTTCTCCCCCTGATAGCCAGGCTTGCAGTCGCACGCGTAGGCATTGATCTGGTTTGTCAGAAGGAAAAGACAAATTAATATTGTTTCTTTTAGAAATAAAACTATCTTAGCCCTAAAACGCAACTGAATTATAAATATACTTCTGGGAATTAAAATATGATGAATTGTATATTCTAGTCATTTATTGGAGTAGGCTTTAATTTAAATTGTAAGCAATACGGAAGCAAGATAAGCCAAGGCTGCACAATATCGCAAAGGATTTACTGGATTAATAGGAAATCCGGAAATATAAGAGGGAAACACGATAACTTATCTCGCTAACTTTGCAGCTATTTAAATTATATAGTATATAAAAAGGCATCTCTAGGAATTCTAAGAGTGAGATAGGTAGTGTGATGAATCTATTGATTAAGTACGGGGTTTCTTTTAGGATAAATCAGCTTAAGAACCATAGCGAAGCTCTACATTTTGTTCTCTTTTTATATCAGAACGCACTCACTTGTCTCAATATCCGATGCTTTCCATATTTAAAGAAAAACAACTAATTACATTTTAGTAACTGGAGACTCTATTCTGATGGCTGGTACAGCGATACACTTACCTTGTTGTGGCATGTGGCGCCGTGCAGGCACGGATGACTGAGGCATTCATCTACATCGGAGTCACAATGGATGCCCGTGAATCCAGGCGTACAGTAGCACTTGTAGGAGCCCTTCTCATTTTTGCAAATGCCATTGCCGCAGATTTTTGGCTGCAGTACGCATTCATCCACATCGTTGGCACAGTTCCGCCCTGTCCAGCCTCGCTGGCACTTGCACTCGAAGTCCCCATTGGGCAGGTCAAGGCACTCTCCGCCATTCTGGCAGGGTTGTGTGGCGCACTGATTGCACACCTTGTTCTCTGGGCAAATGCATTGGTTCTGAGCACAGACCATTGGCTCCTGGCAATTGAGTGGCGAACAGTTCTCTGTCTTCTCGCAGCGATCGCCAGAGTAGCCAACGGCACAGTAACAATGGGTGCCATTCATGGAACAGGTGCCTCCATTCAGGCACTTGCCATTCGTGGCGTTGCAGTTGATGGGCGTTAAGGCCAAAGCGGCGGCGCCATCGCCCGTGCTCTGCTGGCAGTTGTAACCTGAATATCAGATCAAAATTAAAAAATCAAACAAAATTTTAGGTTAGATTTGATCATGCCTAAGCTGCTTTTGTTACCAACTGTACTTAAGACTAACATTTTAGGGTTTCTAAGCGACAAAATAATAAATACTACAATTCTATGGATAATAAATACTACAAGTCTATATATTTACAGTTAATCTAGTTAGGGTTGCACTACGAATTAAATCGAAAATTCGATACACATATAAGCCAAATACGATATACAGTGGATATATAGATAAAAACTCTATTTAATATATATTTTATAGATTTCGTTTAACCATACAGTGGATAGTGAATATTTAAACCGATATTTCAATATTTACTTAATGATTTTTAGAATTGATTTAGGCAAAATAATATTTTTTAAGATCTTTCTAGATTAAGTGAAGCAAAATAAAAATATATTGCAATTTCGATTCTCTTAAAAATGTTGTAGATTTAATTTAAAAATCATAATATATAGATGAAATCCAAATAGAAAATTCGATATTTACGAAAGGTTTAATAGATTAATTTATTAATAATTATATATCAATATATCGTTTGTATGTATAGAGTATTTCCCCACACAGAACTTGCAGTGCAACCCTGTTTGTTGTTGTTGTTGCCAAACCTGTGTATCCACTAGCACATATACAGGTATAATTGTTACTATATCCTAGGCAGGTGCCACCATTCAAGCAATTTTCTTGGGGACATGCATTCAGGGAGGCCGAGCGTTGCGTTTGTGCTTGTTGTTGTTGTTGTTGTTGGTGTTGCTGTTTGTTTAGTTTACTTTCTGTTGTTGTTGTTGCTGTTCTTGTTGTGTTGGTTATTGAAGGTTTTTTGGTGGTAGTAATATATGTTGCTGTTGTTGCAACATTTGTTGTGGGAATAGCTGGGGTTGTTCTTGCAGTGGTTGCTTGTTCTGGTAGCGGTGTTGTTGTTGTTGGCAGGCAATGACCAATGGGGCCTACATATACACATATAATTCGCATAGCCGTATATATACACAGGATTGTTACCAATATGTAGAGTATATATGTAAGTGTATATGTGTTTGTTTGTGTTTACATAAAAGTATTTTGGATTAGTTAAAAGCGTTTTAATTATGCGTTTATTATTTAATAGCTAAATGTATATGAGCTCAACGATTTGGTATTTAAGTTAAACGACATTGATTCTTCAAATAAGCTCTCTTTCTGACTGCGTAACCCACTTTTTTTAGCACTACTTCAAATTTTTGCCACCTCTCGGCTGCATATATCTAAGGTCTCTGATGTTCACCAATGGTGATTATTATTTTTTGTAAGATGGCGGAATTGTATTCCCTACAGTTCCAAACTTATGAAAACATATAGTGATGTCAATGTTAGGACGAAATGGATTCACCAAAGAAATATTTTATAAAGCTCACAATTTATAGAGGTTTACTTTCGGTAGCAGGATAACACTCTTAATTCAAAGCTTTTATAGTACATTTTTGGACTACTTTATATGTAAAATTGAAATTTTGTGAGAAGGTAAGTATATTTTCGGCACGCCGAAGACTATATACCCTTGTAGACATTTGTCTTTGAAATATCAAAATAGTTTAGCTCGAAAATTCTAAGTTTGATGAAAATATCTTGAAAAATCATAATATTTTGCCATAGTGCTATATAATATAGTGGTGCGATGTTGATAAGATTCGGCTTATATGTATGCAAAATATTTGAGCTAATAAATGCCAAGCTGGTCATAAACTAGCAATTTTTTTATACAAGAACTTAATTTTCGGCCGATCTTTCCTATGGCAGCTATATTATATAGTATATATAGATATAGATATATAGATATAGTTGATTAAATTTCACATGTATTTGAGCAGTGTAGTGAAACAATGAAATACTGACACGGACATGGCTATATCAACTCGGCAAATGATACTGTTCAAGAATATACATAATACTTCATGGCGTCGGAGATTTCTCCTTCTACTAAAATAATTCTTACAAGGGTATACAAATTGGTTGCCCATTGCAGCATTTGTAAATTAAGCTTATAGATCCTCTTATAAATTTTAAATTTAAAAGAAGCTAGCATTAATCTATGGGCTTTTTTTTTTTAATGTATTTAGAATCCCTATGATGAAAACTCAAGCACAAGTGGGTCCCGAATAGTGTAACTGTGGACCTACTTAATTTTAGCTCACAACGCTTGCGCTTAAGCCACTCGGGTGATATATAGCGTTTCTTTTTGCCACCGGCGCACAGAGTGCTCGATACTCCTTCAAGATCGCCCTCTCCCGCACCTAATCCCAGGCCATGCAATTCAAGCAAAGTTGGCAGCTCCAAAGCGGTAGCTTTTGTTAGATTAAAATTCAATTGGAAGACCAGGTAGGAAGATAGAAAGAGAGAGGCAGAGATAAATTTGGTAACCCTAAAGCTAAACCAAAACGAAAGAGTTACATGCGCCACACCATGAGCCATTGAACCATTGAAACCATATTTAAACGTAGAATCATCTACTCACCCGAAGTTCCTGGCTTACACATACACACGCCGCCAACACACTCCGAATCGATGGGACACTGCTGGGCACAGCTCGGACCCAGTTGGCAGAGCTCGCCGCTATATTCGGGCGCACAGATGCACTGGAAGCCGATGGCCTTATCGACACAGGTGCCGCCATTGAGGCACTGCTGCGTCTGGCAGCTAATGGGATTCTCGCAGATCTCGCCGTGCCAGCCATCCTGGCACTGGCAGGTGTAGCCGCCGTATGTATCAAAGCAGCGCCCGCCATTTAAGCACGGATTGTCATCGCACTCATCGATGTTCGTCTGACAGAAGGCGCCCATGTAGCCGGTGCCGCTGCAGTTGCAGCTGAATCCATTGATGCTATCGATGCAGCTGCCATTGTTCTGGCAAGGCTGTGAGGCGCACTCATCCATATCGATTTCGCAACGGGCGCCCGTATAGCCCTTAGGGCACTCGCAGGTGGGACTGGAGCTGCCGCTCAGCACAACGCACGCGCCATTATTTAAACACGGATTCGACTGGCAGAGCGGATGTATATTGACCTCGGTCTCACAGTGTTCGCCACTATGATTTGCATGACAGACGCATTGGTAGTCACCGCGTGAGTTCTCGCGACAGGTGCCGCCATTATTGCACGGATTCTTGGCGCACGGCGAGCCATTGTCCTTCTGACAGTTCTTGCCCGAGTACCGTGCCGTGCAGCGGCATTCGTAGCCATCGGCACTTGAAGTACAGGTGCCATGACCCATGCAGGGATCATTCAGACAATAGTTGTCCTGCGCCCGAGTAAATGTTTCGTGCTCACTGCACGGACCATACGATAATGGGCAGACTCCAAATACGGCATTCTGTTTGGATGCATTCACGAACTGCAGTCCAGGTCCATCCAGCAGGCAGCCCGAGAACGAATTGCCCAATATCAGTATGGCCAACTCGTTGCCGATGTCCTGATTGGTGAGAAACTGGCTGTTGTACGTCGAGTTGGCTGCAATTAATACAGAAATATGCATGAATTACTTTTCATAATGATGGATTGCATTTATAGATGGACATTGAATGGAAGCTATGCGACTTGCCAATACGTGGTTATGGGCCAGGTTAACAGGTCACGTAGTTCAGGCTCCCATAAAGTTCTCTCACGTTCCCTTATTTACAGTGCATAAATTCAAGCCCGCAAAAAATTTAATCATTGTAAAATTTAGTTGTTTTTGAAAAACCAAAGTTCATTTTCAATTATTATAATTCTTTAGATCTGAAATAGTACTTAAATAAAATACCAGCGCTGAATAATCAAATAGGTTAATAGCTTATAACCCTTTCCTAATAATACAATTTTTGGGTCGTCCTTAGTAGAAGAGTTTTCCCGGGAGACTAAGATATAAAATTGGGGATTGTATAATCAGCTTTTCTAAGGGTTCAAAATTAAAAATGTGTACAGAAAAAATGGTATCCATATATTTATTATGCATGTATTAATGCTGCGATGTGCGCCGAACACGCTAAAAGCGACTTAATGTATTTAGATAAAACGCAAGCCGAGACTAATTTCAATTTAAATTGAATTTTCCTGAGCCAAATTAACAACTTTCCGCATGGAAGTGAATTAAGTTTTGAACAATTTGTGGACTGCTTGAGTTTTTGGCACAGAGAAATTAGTTTCAAAGTTCCGTTGCTTAATGAAACGGATATGGAACATCCGATAATTGATTAAGATTTTTGGTTTAATAATAATAATTTGGCATATTTTTCATTCCCAAATCCAGTTACCAAACAATAAGCTTTTTAATCGATTATTTTTATTATTTAATTATTAACACTTTAAAAAAAATAATGAAAATTGCGTAATGTTTTTTATAAAATCTGTGTTTCAAATTTAAATCAAAGTAATTTATTTAATCCCCCAGAATATAACAAAAGGTCTCATTAATTTAATGTTGGCTTACACAGTCAGTGTTATGTTTAGACTTTTGTCGAGCCGAATTTCTTTTCAATTTGACACGATCCATGACTGACTAGCCCGCTTTAATTGGAAGATAATCACTTACCAAATATAATAGCCTCACGATCCACATGCAAATAGAGATTACCGTACTCGTACTTGAATTGTAGCGTATGCCAGCGATTGTCCAACAGTTGGTAGGGCAGTCTGACGTCCAGGCGATTGTTCAGCCCGATGACGGCTGGTCCGGCGAGGGAGACTTGCAGGAAATCGTTGAGCACTGAGATTACGATTGAGTTTTTGTTATATTGCTGGGCGAGTATTTCACCGCCGCGGCACGAGCGGAAACTGATCGCAGAGTGGTCCCAGGTGGGCATGGGCGTTTGCAGACGCAGATAAGCGGACCCATTGAAATATGCCTCCTTCGTGTGCACTTCCACCGAGGCAACATCTGTTCGAGAAGAAAAGGTAGAGAAAATGAGGTGAGTATTGTAAAAAGCACACCGAAGATTAAACACCCTAGTGGACATACAAACAAGCAAACGACTCAGAAGTGTTTTCATATACGGCGATAAGTGAAGCTCATAATTGTTGACCCATTCTGTGGGTCTATCCGGCCGATTCTGACAAATATGCCTACGGCAACAAAGAGGCAGATCTGTGCGGTGCTTTGACAAAATGAGAAATTATATTGCATGATCAAGAAATTTTACAGCTATTGCTGTTGGAGATAACTTCTCTGATACGTTACACATTTCATGACAAAGTTATATTACTCTTGGAAAGGGTATACAAATTGGACAAGGCCAGGCAGCCGGTAATCGCATTTGATTACAGGTCAAGCAAGGCGGGTAAACGGGGAGGGGTAACTCAGTTAAAGAGACATTGTTTTTGCTGCATTTGTAATCGTAGACTTCCTCATTTGTCACATTTTTTTTCGCGACTTGTCTTATTGGGTACACGGCTAACGTCTAATTTAGCAATTGGCCAATTGGTCAAACCGACTTTTTGCCTGGAAAGTGTTTGAGTCGAAGCAGCATTGACCAAATTAGAAAAGTTGACGGCACAGATGCCACCTAATGTTAATCAGTTGCTCCCAACGTCAACTTCGCAACACAACTTTCATTTGCGCTGGCGGCGCAGAATCAATTCGCCTTTCCCGTTGCCCTCACCACATACATACATAAATACAGAGAGACATACATACATACACACATACATACAAGTGTGCGTGTTTGGGCAGCAACAGCAGAGCTCAAGTGTTTTCCTTAAAGATACAACACCGGCTCTATGGAGTGAGTGCACAAGCCGTAAAAAAACAAAATCAAAACATAAGCAAGTTTTTTATCTCTTCAGTGGAAAAAGTTGAAATTATGAGAAAGAAAGTTGTACTTAGGAAACGATAATGTAAATTTGTAAAAACATGAAAATGTTATTAACGATTTATTAATTTCTTCCGATTTTCAATAAACACGCAATTTCCGAATTTATCATGATATAAGAAAATGTAATATATAGAAAAAGTAAACAATTTCTTTTTTGGTACTCGAATTTATGTTCAAGTAATTTGCGGTGCTTGAAATTAGAAAATATAAAAAATATAAGTATAGAAATGTTAACTAAGCCAGTTTATATAGGCAATAATAGCTGTCAATGTAAACACTATATTAATTACTATATGACAATGAAACTAAAGAAGATTATAAAGCGAAATCCTATGAGAATATTTTTTAATTACAAAGTTTTAAAATTTCCATAAAAGAAGTTGTTCGCCTCTCAAATGTTGGCACAGCTTTCGAGGTTTTTTAAATTTATAAAATTTCTTGTGTATTTAGTTTTGCACAATGATTTGTTTACGTTCATATATGTACCTATTATATTTTCTTGTTTGCTTCGTTTTTGATTTGTTTGCCCTGTTACGCAAATAATGCTTATCTTAAAATAATAACCTATGTACATATGTTGTCAGAAGTAAGAAAGCCTCTAGCTAGAGGCATGCATAGCTAAAAGAAGAGTATGCAATCTGTCTCATATGTAATAAACAAAGTTAGGAAACTAACTGTCGAAAGTTTTTAGCAAAATACTTAAAGAGGGTGTACATATGCTCGTATTGATATATATGTACCTATAAACACTCTCTGCGGTCATATATGTATGTTTATGAATATGTCTTCGAGCTGGTTTCAATGGCATTGGTTAAGTGGCAGTAGCTGTTTATTAACAAATAAAATAAAAAAAAAATATTCAACAGCAAAATTTGCAGTTTAGAATTCGTGTTAAGTGGCTGAAAACGCGATATTGTCATAAATCTAAATTTGGCAAGTGTGAACAAGGAGGTTTTTTGTTTATATTTAATTCTATTCACACAAGCATTTCGGTTTTAAAACTCTGACTTGCCCCACATGACTCTGAACTCTTGGCCTGCCCTGGCCCTAACTACCTGACAGGCCAGTTGGCTTAGAAACAGTTTAAACAAAAAACAAAGCAACTGCATGCAATGCGCTGACCAGACCTCGAACTGGGGGGCCAGCCCCATCCTTACCCTACTACGGCTGCCCAACGTCACCCCCGCGCAGGGGTGAAAACCTTATGAGGCCATCGATTTTGTTGCGCCGCTTTTAAGGCATTTGATTCGTATTAAAAGGCGATTTAGTGTGCCGGACAGTTGGAAATGAAGGGTTCTGGAAACGTTTTTCTGTCATTCGGTTTTGGTTTTGGTTTTTCTATTTGTGTGTCAGCGCTTTGAGAGCTTCGTGCCCACTCGTGAGTAAGTAAATGAGCCAGTAAGTAAGCCGTTGGTAAAGTAGCTCATAATTATATTATACTCACGTACGAAACTGTGCAGAAGAACATTAAAAAAGCTACAAAACGCATGTAAGAATGCTGCAAGCAAAATGCTTTTCACACTCCAGATACCCTATTTTACGATAATTAAAATATGATGGAAATATTTAAAGCTACCATCGCATCCGAAAGAAGTTAAGCCAAATTCTTGGTAATTCATAAATTAATTGCGATGGACTTTTGCTTCAGATTCTACTACAATTACTTTAAACTAACCCTTTAACTATTTTGTTATTTACTTTTTGATAGTTGAATTACTCTTTTAAGTAAAAATGGGAAAATAGGTGAAAAGTATAAATAAAACTTAACTTTAAGTAAACCTTTTTAGAAATAAGAGAAAAGAAAATGAACATCAAAGTAAAAGTCTAGCGGTGCGGATCGTGGCTGCGTCCCTTTCAGCAACTTCTTTACAGGGTATGAAAATGCCATTTAAAATAAAAAAGAATTACTTATTGCATATGCTGTATGTGTAGACATGCTCTTTTGTATAACAGCATTGGCCTTTTGTGTTTAGCCGTAAACGAACGGAACGGAAATTTCATAATCATAAACGTTTGAAATGCGAAACAGCAAAAAGAATTTTTGCTTTCGCATTTTTGACAACTGTTCGCTTTGGTCTTCTTCTTATTTGTCTTGTGAATGAATCGACAATACGACGACAGCCACAATGATGATGACGACGACGGCGACGGCGACGACTTTGACGGCAACTCGGAACGAGATCTTGAGTTGAGAGCGAGCGAATTTTAAGTTTTTAGCGGTACCATAAAAGAAACAGTTGTTAATGGCTCTGCTTATGCCCTATATCCACTGAGATTGGGTAAAAGAGGGTATTATGGGCTTCAGTTTGGTGTGGTGTCATACATACAAACATTTTGTAATGATCGGACTTTAAACACCGAAGTTATTCAAGAATGCATTTGCCTTAGTGTGCGGCAGAGGGAAGAAATAGCCCAGCCGCTGCATAAAGTGCATGTGTGTGTTATTGTCGATGTTATGATCTAGAATTTTTGTAAAGGCATCTCGCTGCTACAGAGTATTTTCTAGTGGGGCACACAACTCACTAGAGGATTCATAGTTTTCTATTTCGGGAACATTAAGTTTGTAGCTAGCGACTCTTCAAAGCTGAAGCTTAATTATGTCTAAATCGCGTTGAGCTTTAGGTTGGGCGTGTCAAATGGTCGCCACAAAGAAAATTGGAATGATCGTAACTAAATGAGCACAAAGAATTATTAACAAAACAGTATGCATAATATAATATAATCTTGTTTTGACAATATCCCTTCGAATTTATGTTTGCTCATCAAAATTTATGATCATGCAGATATGCAGAATCTGCATAAAGGCGCAAAAGGGTAATGACATCTATGTAATTAAATAATTCGATATAGCTTTCATAATTATTTTGCATTTTACATAGGAGATTCCACAAAAGAATATTCGATATTTATAGAAGAGCATGAAGTACGAGGTACACACATTTCACACATTTTCCGCCCAAGTTCCATTATATGCCATAATCTGTGTTAAATATGCCGATTTGTATTTAAGTCAGAGTTTTCAACTTGAGTTTACAAGTCATTTGCAAAGATTTAATGGAACTGCGTTTTTAAACAAACTTGTAACCTTGCAAAGAATATACATTTTTACTTTTTGCAAATTAAAGGTTAGATGACTTTGATAGTTTCTCAACATCATTTTTCACATTCATTAACTAAGACAAATATAAATTTCTACTTTCATTTCAGCTTTTAAAACAATTATTAATTTTCCCATGCATGCAGTAGTTTAATAGATACAATCTACTCAGTTATATCATTATGCATTTTCCATTTCCCCAAAGTGTTTTTACAAAAAAAAAATTAACATTCCGAAAAAAGTAATGTATGCAAATGCAATGTCGAAAACTGTGCTAAATACTCGTATAATACAAGAGTAACAACTAAATTGTAGCTCAGACTCCTGGCACGCCCACTTTTGCATAGGCGAAAGACCTAGTTAGCAAACACTCACACACACACACACACACTTACACACATGCAAATCTGCATAAGTATGCATGTAAATTAGCTCAGCTTTGGGCCTTTGCATTGCATTGCACTTTGTGGCATGACTAATCAGCGCCAACCTATACACAGGCCAAAAACAACGTGGCTCACACACACACACAAACAGACACCGCATGTTTGACGCGATTTGTGAGCTGTTTTGGCTGTTTGGCTTGCATTCAATTTTGCAGCTCTGGCGTTTTCGTCTGGTTTTTTGTGCTCTCCCAACTTTCTAAGCAGCGTTTGCTGCAACTGTTAGCTCCAAGTAACTATCAACTGGCACAGCAGCTACCCACCCTCTGGCTTTCGGAATGGCCAAAATAAAAACCCAGCTGCGTCTCTGGCTCTGTTTTTCTTTTATTCCCTTGCGAAGGTTATTATAAATTTGTCAAGAATTATGTAAGGCATCTGTCTCAAAAACGCCCAATAACATATATATTTGTGTACAAGGTGAGTCGATGTAGCCATGTCCATATTTGAATAAAACTTTGCATAGTTCCGTTCGAATCAGCCGATTCGGATTCCTATATAACATGGCTGAACCAAGAATGAAATAGAG